GGGAACGCGTGGGAGGTGTCGTGCTAAAGAGGATCGCGACGCTTTTTTCCGGATCCTCGATACGCCATCTACGGAACCAATCTCCAAGAACCACCATTGGCGGCTGATTAAAGTCAATTACAGACTATTCCGAGACGTCAATCGGAGGTATAGAGGGCTGTGTCGTCGACGAAAAGCACGAGATCGACTTTAGAAGTTATGATGAATTAAGTAGCTTAATTTATTATTTTAGTATCTTTAAAATTTTACACATTATATATTTATAGTGACGCAAAACTTTGGTGTAAATCTTCGTACACTTAACTATTAAATAAAAGCAAAATATTATACTTTCTTAAAACATTGCTTATTATGATTATAGTTAATAGTTATTTACTAGATAACTTTTTACTATAGCTAAAAGAAAAATAGAAACAGACCACAAACTAATTTGACCTTGTTATATTTTTATTTGTAGCATCTAACCTCAGAATTCAGCACAAAATTTGTTCTGTATTCTGAGCATCTAACTGTTAGATGTACTAATTTAAAGTTTGTTACAGGAAAAATCCACGCTGTTTGTGGATGTTTTTTCTAGTACAAATTTCTTAAGATTTAATTTATACCCTACGATTTTAACAATGTGAGTATCGATATCGTATAGATTTCCAACATATTATTTAAAAAAGTTGTATAAAAATTACGATTATATGCAGATACGCAAACAAAAACAGTTTTAGATATATACTCAGGGCATACGATGGAAGATCAAAAGGTTTGCGGAATTATGGGAATGATTTTTTTAATTTTAATTTAAAGATTGCTTTATTTAAAGCCACTGGGTGACTATGTAAGACTACAGTGTTCACAAATCAGCCCCTGTGGGGTTCAACTGTAATCGGCTCCCAGCCTAAATATCGTTAGCAGTAATATACGCACTAGGATAGAACCGTATGTGTTTCCTGTCGCGCAATGCTCGAGATGAATGATGGCTAATATTAAATTATAAAATTATAAATTTTTTTTTCAAAATATTTTCCCTTTAGCCTTTAGCCAGCCTTATACATTTATCAGATCTTTGAAATAACTTATTTATATCTTCCCAAAAAAATTTTTTGTCAAACCCCTGAAAACAGGTAGAAGTTGCAGACTTCACTTGTTCGTCATTAGTTTTTTTAATCGAAGCTCTTTCTTCATTTTTGGAACTCCATACTCACTTTTGGTTAGGCCACAGGTATTTATTGTAATGAGACACTGACATCACTTTGAAAATGTCAAGATTTATATAAGAGTCATATATTTTTTAACAAACATTACGTTATAGTTTTATTTTTTTAAGGTACAATTATGAGTCAATTAACGTGGTAAGTGACTTTTTTGGTTGTTTTTATGCGTCCTTTATAATTTCGGCAAACTTTTATCGAGCTACTCGGCATTTTTAAGTAATAATTTTAAATAAAACTAGTTTTTCACGGGTTAATGCACGAAACTTTATTTATTTATTGACGTTTCGCACGTTTTTGTGAAGAGTGATTCGACCGCCAAGATACTCAAAAACACAAGTGAACTCATTAAGTCACGTTCCGAAACGTTGGATCTCGACATCAACTACCTTATTCCTGCATGTCCCAAACCACGAAAACTGTATGGGTTACCGAATGCTCCGCTACGTCCGATTGTAAGCCAGATTGATTCACAAACATACCGTTTGACTAAACATGTAGCAAAGTTACTTTCGCCGCTGCGAGGTAACACAACAGCCTTTGTGAAAGATTCATACCAATTTGTCAATGAGATTAGAGATCAACGTCTCATGGACAATGAAATCATGGTCAGTTTTGATGTTCAGTCCTTATTTACATGCCTACCAGTACGGGACTGCATTGAAATCACTAAGAAGAAGCTACTTGAAAATAATATGCCTGTAGAATATGCAGTATTACTAGAACATTGCCTTACATCTGGCTACCTGTTATGGGGGGATGACTTCTATGTACAAATGGAGGGCGTTGCGATGGGTTCCCCTGTCTCACCTGTTGTCGCCGATATTTTCATGGAAGACTTCGAGAAGAGGGCTCTCAGTGTGGCACCTGTCACACCCAGGCTATATAAGCGGTACGTAGATGATACTTTCACAATCCTCCCAACAGATCAAATTTCTGCCTTTTTAAATCACCTTAACTCTATTTACCCCAACATCCTATTCACTATGGAGTTAGAGGCAGATAGTAAACTAGCTTTTCTAGATATTTTATTAATCAGGAATCCTGACCAAAGTTTAAGCCCTACTGTGTATCGTAAAGTAACTCATAGTGATAGGTACCTCAATGGTGACTCACACCATCACCCGAAATAATTAACTACCGTAGGAAACTCTTTGTTTCAGAGAGCACGGGGTGTCTGTGACAAACAACACCTGGTAGCTGAACGAGCGAGTACTGAAGGATAATAATCTGATCTGAATGTATGTACCACGTCGCCGTCACAGTCGCGCCATACCTAGCACAGTCGACCGATATCCTGCTATCCTACCTTACATGAAAGAAATCACTGACAAGATTGGGAGGATTCTGAAGCGTGCTTCAATCAATACCTACTTCAAGCCGCCAAAGAAGATCAACCGGTTTCTACGACCGGTCAAGTGCAATATACCCTTCAAGTTGCTGGTGTCTACAAACTTGAATGCGACTGTGGGCTCTGTTACATCGGGCAAACAAAGAGGAGTTTAGGGACTCGGGTAAAAGAACATAACGCAGATATGAAACATAGGCGCGAAAATAAGTCTGCAGTGTGTGAACATGCACTAGGGGGACCAAACCATTACATTAGATTTGATAAACCACAGATCCTTGCAACTGAGCAACGATTCATTCCTAGAATGATACGCGAGGCTATTGAGATTGAAAAAAAAAACAAATTCCAATATGGACGATGGTTGGTATATACGACCAGCTTGGGAACCCATTATACAAGAGATAAAATCCCAACCCCGAGCACACACTGCAAGACCAACAGATACTATTAGTTCTTTTTGTTTGCATAATTTAACATAAGAAGGAGATCGAGAGCCTCTCTTGAGTTTGTTTCGCCGGTTCATCTCAGAAAGGTCTCCCAATTTTGGAACCGGTGGTAGTTTACGGTAGTTAGGGTCAAATAAATAAACTCATAATTACAAAAAAAAAATTAAATAAAATACTTTATTAACTAAATTAAGTAATAAATTACACATAGACAATAAAACTTTAAAAATCGAACAATGAAATAACCGAACACTCAATAAAAAATTGATTCCGACGAAGCAGCCTGTAAAGGCTGCGAAACGTCAATAATTAAATAAAGTGCAATAGCAAGTCAATAATTAATTAAATAATGCACGAAGCATTAACTCGTGAAAAACTAGTTTTATTTAATGAGTGATGTGCGTGAAAACCTAAGAAACAAATATAATAATTTTAACACAAAACTCGGTAATTGACGTGCGTATCGCTCAGCGTTGCATTGAACACTAAGTGGCGGAAAACGACTTAAACCCCACCAGGTGGGTGATATTTTTTTCAACGCACCGGCGCTGCCACGCTCTATCTACAGAGTAAATAATCAAAGAGAGTAACCCATCCAAGCTTATTGTTTGCAAGTTTTACACTTTTTGTGAAAATCAAATCAGAGTTCCAAGGTAGCAAGTGGTCCGGTTTATTTATTGTCCCGAGTAGTTATTTTAACTAAAAATATTTTATAAATATTTGGGATTCTCCCACCGATCATCAGTTAAATATTCTAGTTTATTTTTTGGATTTATTTTTTATTGGGGAATAGAATTTTTCAAAAGCACTTATACTTACTTCTTTGCAGTACTTTCTTTCTCTTCCATAGCTACTTCTCTCTACACTTTTAAGTTGATATATATTATTTTTTTATTTCAAAAATTTTTTTTGACAAAATAGGGGTGGCTGAGAAGATAGAAGTTCTATATATTTATATTTTTGGCGTGAAATAGTACCCAAATAGATTTTTTGTGTGCCTTATTTAAAACTTTGGCTTCAAACGAAAGTTATGGAGGAAAAATATTGTTTTTTTTTCTTTGATATAGATTACTAATGAAATCGAGCAGTTATTGACCACTAACTGGTTTTGCTCCGTAAATAAACGTAAACACAGAGCATAGAAAGAGGTTTTGTGAACATAAACCGAATAACTATTTTTGACATAGGTAAATGTGGTCGAACCTAAAAATAGGATCATGGCGAGACAGCGACATCATTCACAATATCGTTGAGCGAGATTTATAACTTTTTACAGGTGATTTTTAACGTGTTCGTTGCTTCTTCGTGTTTAAGTCGTTTCGAACTACATGTAACGAAAGAAACTGTCTTTTATATTTACAAAACATTTTACTGACTAAAGAAAATTCACAATTTTCTTACGTAATTCTAAAGGTAAAAAATAAAAAAATAAATGGCCAGTAAAAAAAAATTACGTTGCCAAAGCTAAGACGAACTGCGTAACTAGTACTCTTTGTTCACAAAGATGTTTTTTTTTGTAATAAATTTTACTCAATTCAATGTGACAGGCAGCTGTAACTTTAAATAAATTGTTTGCGATGAATCTATATATTAAATAAATGTGTGTACTTACCTTTAATGTTTAAAAAATAAGGTTTAATCAAAATATAACAATCTTAAAATAATCTTAAACTCATAAAAATATTTGAAAGAATTACTTTGGAATAGTAATTAAAGTATTCACCTACCTACTTACTGACTGTGTGTTGTTTTTAGAAAAAGAATATATGAAAATCAAATAGCTTCTGTTAATATAAACTATAAGCTAAAATATTGTTAAATTTAGTAAAAAAAAACTAAATGTTAGTATTGTTATGATAAGAACGCCTATAAATAACTTACTAATTCGAAGCTACGATATGGCTCCTTGTGTTCTCGTGCCTCTAGTATTTGAATTAGTTTTCCATTTAGCAGTTAGGCATTTTGTTAAGCGTAGCATCAAATATTGATACATATCAGTACCCTTTAATTTTAGTTCTTCAGCAAATCCAAGTTTCATGGCTAGCCTCAATCCCAAATCTATAAAAATGTGGTTGGTGTAGGGAATGACGTGCGGCAATTTTTCGACCACTAAAGATTCCAGGTGGAATTGATTTTCTAAATCTAAAGTGCTCAATAAACTGCCAAGTACACTCTGGAGTGCACTTATTTTAGCAGTAGCCACTGAAGATTCACATCTTTCACACTGCCAGTCACTAATCGGATCCAAAGGATTGATCGGTAAGATGACTCCGATGCAAGCTTTGTTTAAGCACTTAAATGCGGCCAATTTCGTCCCTTTCTCAGTACGATCACAACACCTCTCGCACTTGCACCAGAAATGCTTCGTTTTCTGAAGTTGACATCGCCTGGCTGGAGTGCACCATAGCAATCCCGTGTAACACGTCAATATCTCTTCCCCCTCGGCGATATCTCGAGTTGCATATACAGCCATGTTGTGATTCTTACAAAAAACATTTCTAGTGTTTGGTAAACAGCTGTGATTCATTAGGCCTGATATTAGGTATAAACCACGAAGGGGTACCTTTTTTGAATTTTTATCATGTGCGACTCTGAACGCATTCGACTTGAATATGGAATCGACTGATTTCATAAACCTTACTTGTTCTTCGGTTATCACATAGTTGTTACACAATGCCTCTAATTCTTCAACTGGAAATTTATCATTGTTCTTTTGAAAAATAGATAGCAAATGTTTTTCCTCTTCATCGAGTAACAGTGATCTTATGTATATCAGTGATCTTGTAAGATCCGCCGGTTGTTTGTCACAGTTCGGTTTGAGTTTCCAATTACCAAAGATGAAATCACATTCTTTTGTGTGATTTTCGTTCATTGTGCATTGGGAGCACAGTAGAAGGCTGCACGTGTTACATGGAGTGCAGTTGCTTTCTATAGTATAACAAGTTGAACAGAAGGAATCTCGTGCGTGGTCACCGCGGGGTCCGATTATTAGAGGCTTGTTCTTGAATATGAGGTCACCGCGTTTGATTTGTTTTGTAGCAAATAATCCTCTTCCACTAATTTTGGACTTTTTAATGACCCAAACGGTTTGTTCGCTGATCGGTGTTTGGTCGGGGGCAGACATGAGTGCCATGATGCAGCCGAGTCTGAAGTCAGAGTAATATGACTGTATACTGGCAAGTGAACGCGCCTCACTGACCCCGCCCATCGATCTACATGACCTGATGTAAAAATAGCTGGAAAACTATGTTTCGACCGATTCATGTAGGTAAGCGGCTCCCGAGTCTGACGTAACGTCGTTCCTGCCGTTTACTTTACTTTAGTTAGAGTACCGAACCTTGAGATGAACACGGGAATCATGTACTTGTACCACGTACGTAAACAATCATTACGCAAAGCGTACCACTAATGTAGTTACGCTTTGCGGAATGTTTGTTTAATTTTAACGCACATATTCATGATGTTGTAAAATTCAAATATTCTTTGATGATGTTTTGACTAATATTTTTAAGACACGATGGAGTTTGGCGCTTCTCACAGTAAGTTTACACCTAATAAGAATTCCAAAGAGTTATTGTTTGGTATACCTATTTAAGTGAGTACAACTAATTATGGCGTTATGACAGGTAAAGGGATAATAGAAATTAAAAATATTAAGGGTGCTGGTTTGAGTTCCGTCTGCTGACCCATCCGCGTGGAATTATTTCTAGTAAAATTAAGTTAAGATTTAAACATCGAGCAGTTAAATGCTTAAAAAAAAATATAACTACGATTACTATTTCTTCTTTCAAATGTTTAATACATGTAAAGGTATTCATTTGACATTGTGGGTTACCTACAATGCGAAGAGATGGCGCAGCCTTGCAGCCTAAAAAAATACTGGAAAGAATTCGACGCAGCCATTAAGGCCGCGGTAGCATAATGGTCAGTGCATAGAGCAGACATGCAGTGCCCAGATAGCGGAGGGTGCGGTTTGGAGTCCTGTCTGCTGCCTGGTCCGCGTGCAATGTTTTCTATAATTTTTTTCTTTAGATTTAAACATCTAGCAGTTAAATGCTTAAAAATGGAATATATGAAAGTTTTTCAATCTTTTATTCTGTAGTAAAATTAAAATATTCAAGTGTTGTGAGTCTGCAGATAAAAGGGTTAAGTACAAGAGTTCCACGGAGTAGGGGAATTAAGTTTCAGGTCGGCAAGGCGATGATTGTTGGTGCCGTACGTAGTAGCTGTCGCTATTGCAATAATTAAGATATTAATTAAGGAACTAGATTTCACTTACTCGTATTATCAGGAAGGGTGGAGGAGACATAAGTGGATAGATTTATATTAAAAGCTACCACCCTTCTTCCTGATTTGATAAGTGTCTGTAGTTTATCCTAGATTATCTTGACTTCAACCATAAGGACACGTATGTATTGACAAGGGTTGCCAGATTTTTTTCTGAGATATATAGTGTTTGACGGTTTGAAGGATCGAAAAATAAAGTACACACAGAAAAAATAAAGTATTTTTATTATTATCCTTATTACAATTTTTACATGCATAAATATGTTCTATGTTCGTGTCACTTTTTTTTATGAGTGCGTTCGGAACTGTTTACCTAAGCCCTAACTTAACGTCAACTTGTGATCTTTGAATTTAAGTTTAAAATATAGTATTTTAGCATACTTTTTATGCATTTCGTTTATAATAAAGTATACAGAGGCAAAATATAGTAAAATTCTATATATTATAGTATATCTGGCAACCCTAGTACTGACTGAAATGATTTGAATTTAGATTCCTGTCCCTGTAGCATGAGCACAATATTACATTTACTTACACTATACATTTTATCACGTTTTTTATCGTGTCTAACTGTCAAATTCCATTCTAATTTACTAATTGAACTTGATAAAAACGTGCTATATATAATATCGCGGTGCTCATCCTAGGGGGGCTGGGTCATGATTCAGGGTTACAAGGTCTTACAGTCACCACTAGTATTATGATATGAATATATTATTATTTCGAATATAGTCATTGCTATATATAATAAAGGAGCATTCACCGCCAAGTCAACAGCAGGTGTAGTTTTTAAAGAACGGAAATAGCTTTCTTCAATACGAATTCATCACGAATGTTTATGTATATACAATTACACAGGCTCAAGAGATCCAAACTCTCTCATTCTAATAACAAAAGGGAAATATTTAAATTATCCTAAAATCTATACATATAATAAAATGGAAAGTCAAAACTGTACATTGAATATTTTTTTTAAAGAATACTGGGGGTGTGATCTAGAATCGATACCGAAGCCAAAAATATAGTTTTTAGAATTTTTGTCTGTTTGTCTGTATTTATGTCCGGGATAAACTCAAAATGTACTGCATGGATTTACTTCAAATTTGGCACAAATATTATTAAGATGTCGGGTCAACATATAGGCTACATATTGTTTCGCTATCACCTACGGGGAACGAGCAGTGAACCTTTATTTGTAACTAACTCCACGCGTACGAAGTCGCGGGCGGCCGCTAGTTAAATAATAAAGATCACCAAAGGTTAGGTTAGGTAAGTTATCAATTGTAGTTTTTTGAGGATCGCATTTCAAAACAAAGTCGTGCTTAAATCTTGTTTTATCTCTTTAACGAAACTTTAACATGATAATATAAGCTTTTAATTTGTTTTAAGAACTTTGGCGCAAGTGGGCTTTCTTCTACATTCGTAATGTTCGATCGCGTCTTTATATGATCGCATTTAATTGGGCTGAACGCCTTGGTTGGGCACGATCCAAACAATGAATTATGGTAATCAAATCATATGATTTTATTCTCATTGTTAGTCATAACAATGCTTATAATCCATATTTTTTATTAATTAATTAAATATAAGTACCCAGTTAAAATTTCAATTCAAAACATGGACTTATTTATTAACTCTTATTCACCATCAAGTATGTGTTTGCATAAGCTGTTGGTGTTGATTGCACAAAATTTAAGGTCCTAAATTATAGCGTACAGCGGATGGGAACCCACTGTTTTTAATCAATTTATCGCGGCAATACGTTACAAGATCGCGCTATTTGGCATGGAAGTATTTGTAGGGTACTTATGTGTTTTTTTATTTGAACGAATCAAATATTCAGGATTGGAATAAGTTTTGTGATTGGAAGGAAAGACAAAGAATTGATGCGCCAGCTGCTAGATTCCCGTGCAAAAAGTAAAATTCTATCAAAGAACAGTGCAGGCTATTAGAAAATATTTTCAGATCTTTATGCTTTCTTTCTCGTACTTATTATTAAATATGGATTTGTACCTTTACAGGAAAACAAAAGAATTAATTAACACAGTTTTGAAGCACTATTAGTTGAATCCTAACTATCTTGTTAATGTATAACTCACATTCATAGCTCCCGATCCCGGTGTCGCTGAACAGGGCATGTCAGTAGGTACTGGGTACAAATATCACTCTTATGGCTATTACAATAAGGGTGATGTTATGTTAAAAACAAATTCTATCAATCATTGAGGCCCCGATTGTAAGTAGCTATTTTCAATAGGTATAGCTAGTTTAAAATTAGTTCTTGTAAGAATTAAAAATCGTTTTTGTATGTATTTATTATTAGAATGGCAGAATTGGGTCGCTTCGTCTTTTGGCTGCTGCTTGTATAGGTAACTTATACTAAAAAAAGTTCTGTGTGTCAAAGACGTGACAGGCGAACAAAACACCAATAGAAATAAGCGCGTCAGTTGTAAAAATATTATCTTCATTTTATTTCAACACTTGCTTCCGTCCGCGACTAGAATTCATCTCCGATAAATTTAATTTCATGCAACTTTATTTTTTTCCTTATAGTCCAGAGTCAATGCACGGAAAATACGGGAAAACCGGACAAACAGCGCCAATTTACACAAAAATTAGGCATTTGGGTTCTACTTACCGTCTTCTTCAAATTTGTTAATGTGCCGAGGGTTGCTATTTCCCTGGGGGTGGACGCCACCCATTCTCGGGGATGTTTTTTTCTATTAAAAATCAATATGGAAATGGTAAGATTGGCTAATTTTATATTACTTTTGTTCTTTAAAGCTTTTTCTGTAAGTCAATAATTTTCGACTTATTTGAGAGGAAAAGTAATTTATCAACAACAAAAAACATGTTTTTAGACGGGTTTTCATGAATAACTCTGAAAATAAGTACCTATTTTATGGAATAATCTGTCGGAGTGAAATTGTAAAATAAACAAAATACTGGGTTAAAAATATCACTAGGCCCAATACTAGCGAAGTTTGTTAAAGGTCGTTTCTTCTTCGTCAAACGCCAAAATCGAAAGTTTCAACTTTCTTTCCAAGAAAACAATGCAGTTTTCGGGGAAAACTCATAGGAATTTTCACACACGTGCGTTTGTGTGTGGTTCATTATGTGGAAAAAGATGAAGGAATCTTTTTTATCAGTGCTGTAAACCACGTAGGTTTGATAATTGTTATAAAATTGTGACCGGGTATTGTTACTATATAACTCGCTTAAATTTGAACTATGAAATTCAACAAAAAAATAATTTTATAGGTTTTTTAAGAGCTATAAGCAGACTATTAGCTATTTTTAAGTTATTATTTTTCAAAATCCTTACTATATGCAAACTTAAAACGGCCATTAAATAAAATAAACCTGCACTTTTTAACTCCTCTTAATGTTGCGTATCTTTCATAGTTTTTGAGTTCTTATTAAAGAGATGTTGCGAAATAACTCAACCTTCAACCTGATTTTTTTCAAAACTTATCAGTTTAAACCATTCAAACTTATAATATAAGTATTACAAGTATATAGATAATATATTACAAGTACATAAGTTAAGTTAATTATAAAGTGGTAACGATAATTTTTCATTAGGTTGGTAATTAGGGGGTGATTTTATTTTTTTTGTCCCATAAAGAATATGTAAGGACCAATTATGATTTTTCATATAAACTTTAATTTTTAAACTAGGAACTTCCATAAAAAAACAAAAATAAAGGTTTTTTAAAATCATGTAAAAAGTTCTATGAGTTTTAGCTGAAAAAATGCATGGCTAGGCTATTATTACAAGCACTTATGAAGGTCAAGGTTTCTCTGCGTAACCGTGTTTCCGTAGGCCGAAGGGGTTGAAACTTTTGATTATGGCGTTTGACGAAGAAGAACCAACCTCTAACAAGCTATTACTCCATTAGAATTCAAGCTAGAGATATGTTAAACTCATTTTTTTTAAAAGCAGCTTATGTTACAATTTTCCGCCGAATGTTTTTTTCACAAAATACTTATTTACAAAGTTGTTTATGAAAATCCATCTGAAAACATGGATTTTCTTGTTGAAATTGACGTTTCCTCTCTCGAATAAGTTGAAAAGTATTGCCCATCAATAAAAACTTTATAGAATAAAAGTTGCTTAGAATTAGTTATTCTATCCATTCCTATTCTTATCTTTAATAAAATATATTTCCTCCCTGAGAAGGTGTGGCGTCCATTTTCAGGGTAAAATCAACCCTCGGCACATTAAAAACTTCGAAGTAAAAGATAAGTGGAATCTACAGCCAAATTTTGGTGCTAATCGGTGCTGTTTGAAAGAAGTTTGAAGAACTAGGGCAACCGTGCATTGACTGGACAAATTACCTACTAGAAAACTTAAAAGAAAAAGATGGATTAAATCGGTAATATCCTTCCAAAGTTATATCGTGACCAAGGGAAATAGGGAACCAGCTCTAGGTATATAAAAAGCTATTTAACAAAAATCTTAAACCGCCGATAAGTAAAAAATAATTAACCTTTTTTATCTTTAGTCAAATAAATATTAGAGTAGATGCCAACCCAAGTAGTAAATGGGAACTCAGATTTATCAGACCTGCATGGCACCAACTCCAAATATTAATTTGAGTAAAGATAAAAAAGGTGGTTAAATTTTTATGTAAAGAAGTTTTCAGTTTACAATTTTTTGTGGTTATAATTTTTGTATATCTGTGAGTGAACAATAACCTAACTATATATCTGCCCACCTTCAGGATAGTTTTTTTTCCCAAATTTATGTGAGACCAACTTTGATGTATCTCCTTTCCAAAAAAAGAATTACCAAGATCAGACTGCTCCCTAAAAAGGTATGTGTGGTCATACATTACAATTAATGAGTCAAAAATCAATCATCCCCTGTTTTCATACCCTTGGGGTTGGTAATTTTTCAAATTTATATGGGACCAACTTCGGGGTGTACCCTTTCTATTAAAATAAAAATTATCGAAATCAGACTACTCTGTAAAAAGTTATGTGTGGTCACACATTGCAATCAGTGAGTGAACAATCAATCATCCCTTGTTTTAATACCCTTAGGGTTAGAATTTCTTCCAAATTCATATGGGACCAACTTTTGGGTGTACCCTTTCATTAAAAAAAGGGATTATCGAAATCAGACTACTCTGAAAAAAAAATATATGTGGTCATACATTGCAATCAGTGAGTGAACAATCAATCATCCCCCCTGTTTTAATAACCTTAGGGTTAGATTTTTTTCAAATTCATATGGGACTATCTTTCCAATAAAAAAAGAATGTCAAAAATCGGACTACTCTGTAAAAAGTTATGCGTGGTCATACATAAAAAGTTATGAGTGGTCATACATAAAGAGTTATGCGTGGTCATACATAAAAAGTTATGCGTGGTCATACATAATAAAATACACGCGCCAACTTGAGAACCACCTCCGTTTTTTCGTCGGTTAAAAATGAAGCCCTATTGCTCTTGAGTGACTTTTGGTCGCACATGTCCTTTACAGTTTTGTCACCGGGATTGGGGGCGGCGAGATCCTAAAGGGACTACCAGCTGAGGATTGGCGAGTGCATCACTGCTAGCTTCTACTTCTACTGCTACTTCCCTATGTGTGGAATGGGGAGATTGGGCCGTGATTACTCAGGCCTAGTGCAGATTTTGTGAGTACTAACGTCAGCAGATGCAGCCGGGCTTTAAGTGCCTTCCGAAGCACAGAGGAGAAGCCTAGATAGAAATTTTTGGTCACCCATCCTATGACCGGGCATTGCGAAAGTTGCTTAACTTAAACGACCGTAGACCGAACGCTCTATCAACTTGTACAATAAGAGCTTTTAGTGGTAGCTACGTATTTCTTATATACTGCCAAGCTACGTGAATTATTCCCGCCATCACTTTATTATTTGACCTCATTTAATAAAATTATTTTAATTATTGTCAATTATAATTTATTTTGCAATGAGATACTACGTCAGCCGTGCGCGAACATACCATATAACTACATAGAATCATTTACTATTTTAAAATTTTGAAGTCATTAATTAGTTCTAAAAATATGGTTCATTATCAAGTTTTAATTATATTTCCTTATTTTTCTATATTCCGAATATGTCGTGAATCTAATTGGATACAAAAATAATAATTTTAATATAATTATGAGTTTGTGGATAGCAAAAATAAATAAAGATACTATATTTATTCGTAGTAACTTACCATGCCACTGCAGTCCTTCTTTATCTCCTATCTCCCATATCAACCGGCATTGAAGGTCTACAACGATTTGATTAGTTTTCGGTATGTACTTGTTGATACGGTAAACTAGAAAATTCTCCAAATGATCCACATTTTCGAAGTCCAACGAGCTCATTAAGCTTCCGAGAGCTTTTTGTAAAATACAAATACTTTTATTGGGAACGCGCATACCACATTGCAAGCATCGCCAGGTAGATGATAACTTTAGAGGTTCTACTGGCAAAAGCGAACCAGGGCACTCCTGCGAGAAACATTTGAGGGCACCTAGCAGTGTTCCACGTTCTGTGGGATCCGCACATCTTTCACATTGACACAAGAAATGTTTAGTTTTATATAGGTGCATTCTTCGGGCGGGGGTACCCCATAAAGTTCCGGTATAACATGTGAAAATTTCAGTTCCCGCTCGAATTGGTTTCACCGCTTTTACTGTCATTTGGTGGTCTCCATTGTAGCTATATCTAGTATTTGGTACACAATTGTGATTCATTAATCCAGAAACTGGATACAAGCCTCGCATACTCACTTCCTTTTTACCGTACGCTGTGGCTATTTGGAATGCGTTTGTGTCGAGCGCACAACATGCTAGAGTCAGTAATTGTTCATCATCCTCGGGAATGTGGAAATATTCTTTCAAATTCCTTATTTCTGCGCCGTGTTGTGGTAACTTGTGCGCTTGAAGTGATGCCATTAGCAGTTTTTGATCTTCATTCAACAATAGCGCTCGTATTGGTGTCAACGCTCTTGATAATAAAATATCATCTACTTCCTCAATAGGCATTTTATTAGTCCATCCAGAGATTATGGTACAGTCCTCGCAATGCTGACTACTATTTTGACACTCTTTCGAACATAAAAAACAGGCACATTTGTGACAGTTAAAACAGTTGTCATTGTCAATTAAACTACATACTGTGCAACCACGTGGTGCAGTGATTCGAGGCCCTCGGATGAGCGGATGGTCAACGAATAGAACTTCACCAGACGCTATATCTTCAGTAGCAAACAGTCCTCGTCCTCCTAAGGATGATTCTCTGATGGCCCATTTGCACGAATATTGAATATCCTCGGCATAGTTGTATAGCCCGAGGTGCACCTTGACTATTTGTGACAATTGTTCCAACGGCAACATCCTGCCGTGACTCGACCGATGACGGCACTGCACTGGACTCGGACTATATAAACCACCGGCTATGATAACATAAGCTAGGTACGGTTTAGATTTATTATTGAAGCGTTGCAAATGGCCCGCGGTCTTTTACCAAATTAGTTGCTGCGTATTGACGCGCGCCGGTCGTATGAGGCAAGTGAACAGCGTACCTGGCGAGTACTTCGCGGGCGTTGCCAAGCCAGTGTTGTTTATCAGGTGATTTCTGCGCGAAGCAATTTATTGAATGAGTTCATATCAGATCGCGCAAATTTAGCCGTTACCTGAGGAGCTAGAGCAGCTACACCCGCCGCGTGTACAGTGAAAAAGACGCAACTGTGACATCTGGGAAAAATCAGATTCCACGTTATGTAAGCCGGTTGATAGTTATTTTTAAACTTGGGTACACCAAATGAAATGCTTTAGTGGCCTCGGTTATTACTCAAGTCAAACAGATAGTATAATTGCATTGACAAATATATAATAATATAAATTTATTATTTAATAATAAATGAATTGGACATGCAAATAAAGTTATAACTTACCCACTGTCGTAGCTAAATAATTTAAAGTCTTAACACGTGTATAAAAGAGGAACAACGTGAGGTGACTACTACTAATGCAAACCTTTGCATTACAATGCCATCGTTGTTTATTTACATTAACCAATTGAGTGTGTAAGTAATATTGGTTAATTGCTTTCGTTAGGTCTAGCAACAAAATATACTTAATATTGTTATACTATAAAACAATAATCACCAAGGAGTTTTGATTGGCACATACCTTTCTCAATGAAAGGAAATGACAAACAATAAATGTAATCTTATTAAATTAGATAAGATATCGATTGATTTTAGTCCCACATCTCTAACAACGGCTGACATTAAGATTAGAGATCTAGATCGCATTGTTTTGTCACTCGCCAAAAAGGAGAAGTAAGAGTAGATAGCTCATGTGATATAAGTAGTAGTATCTATATTACTTTCGGGATTATGTGTTTTGGTCAAATGAACATAAGAAAATTGTTGAAATGAAAACGCTGTTTTGTAGTGATTATAAAGAATGAATGAGCATACATTTTCATGTTTTCTCATTAAATTATGCAGAATTAAATTTTGCTTAAGGTAATTGCCCAATAAAATTCTGCGATTTTAAAAGTATGCCATTGTTATTTTAATTATATTATTTGAAAAAATATGCCTTAATAATAATCGTTTAGACGATTATGCCAAGAGTGTTATGCCAACTGAATTTCGGAGCAATAAGGTTTTGCTAGATAGAGGAAAACCAAATTTAATTCATTAAAAAGAAGTTACCTAGTGATTATTGAATGTAAAAGTTGTTACTCAATAAAGAAGATGCGGCTCAACAACAGTTTATAGGAAATATGGTACATATATTTATTGCCTTAATTAAAATACCTATATATGACTTATGATACTTTATGACACATAGAGGGACAAAATTCTGAAGTCCATAAAGAGCTGCGGACAGGATGTGGTATTTCTAAATAAATCTAATGCTTATAGACAAGGCAGTCTTACAAAAGTTGAGGTTAGTAATCGTAAGATATGACATTTTTGTTTTTCTATTTACTGAGCTAAAAGCTAAAACATTGTAAGACGACATTCATGGACATTCAGTTGTCCATTTAACAAATAGGTAGAGAGAACAAGGAAGTCTATGTCTTTCACACTCCGCATTGCGTATGCGTACCTACATAGGTTTGGTTAATTGCCAATAAGTTTCGATAAAAGACAACTAAGATAATGCACTGCAATTTATTGTGATTAAATGACGAAGGAACCTTAAATAGCAATAGAAAAGCTTTGTAAATTTAATATAAAGAACATAATATAGATGATATTAGTTTCTTAGGTTTTCACGCACACCACTCATTAAATAAAACAAGTTTCAACGGTATAGATGCACTGATTTATTTATTTATGTCGTTTCGCTTCCTTTTCGGGCTGCGTCATCAGAATTATGATCATAATTCTGACGTGACGCTTGGCGTAGATTTTTTTTTATATTTCTAACACTCACACCAATTAGCCTAGCCCCAAAGTAAGTACTGCAAGGCTTGTGTTATGGGATGCTAGGGTAACGGATAGAAACCTACCGCCTGGTGCAGGTACTGATCGGACATGGGTGTTTCGGTCACTACCTGCACCGAGTCGCCCGTCGGGAGGAGACGCCGCGGTGTCATCACTGCGCCTCTCCCGACGACACGGCCGAGCACACGTTGATCGTGTGCCCGGCCTGGCGAGATGAGCGCCGCGATCTGATCGCGGCGCTCGGCGGAGGAGGCCTCACGCTGCCAAGTATGGTAAGAGCCATACTTGGTAGCGAGAGAGCCTGGAGGGTGGCTGCCTCCTTCTGCGAATCGGTGATGACGCAGAAGGAGGCAGCGGAGAGGGAGCGGGAGGAGGACGCTCTAGCCGCCCCTCTCCGGCGTAGACGGGTGGGCTGAAGAAGGCAGGCAGCGGTGACTGCCGGTCTTCGACGGCCCTAAGGTGGTCTGGGCGCGGCCTGACCAGCCGCGCGTCCTAGGTGCCGCTCCGGCATAGGCCACCACGTCTGGGGACTGCCTAGTACCCTAGCGCAGTCCCCCTGAGGCGCGTCGCCCGGTCCACTCGTTGGGCCGGGCCTGCCCGGAGGCGTGCTCAGAGATGTGGCGGACGCAGGTGCGTCGGCCCCGAGACCGCCCCCATATGGGCGTAGGAGGGTACCGGGGGGTTTTAGTGGAGTAGGATCAGTGTGGTCTTCCGCACTGGTCCTGCTTGAGTAGGGTCGGCACTGTTTCCCGTGCCGGCGAGTCCCACACACGCCGTGCGCCTAGTCAGCGTCACGGTATGATGCGTAACTGCATTTCCCCTCGTCACAAAAATAAAAAAAAATGGATGCGTGTAACTTATGTACATACGCGCGTGAGAAGTTATACTTCTTTAGCATCATTAAAAATATTTTTTAATTGCATGCAAATAATTAATAATTACAATAAAATAATAAAAGGACTGGAAAAGGATAGTTAACACAGTCAATTAAGTTCAGTTTTAATTTGAAAAATTAAATAAATATTCAAAATATTCAATTAAAATCACAACTAAATTTAAGTTAATAGTCCATATGTAATTAGCACTTGTAAGTAAAACACGTTGTGTCTATATAGAAACTAGAAACATGTGGATAAATATTATAAATATGAAAACAGTGATCAGAGGCGACGAGCGTGCCAACATTGTTTTTGACAACGCGATCATCTTATGGAGCCCCGTGGATCGTTCAAAGTACCTTTCGAACAGATGTCTAATAATGGTGGATTATTAACCACTAAGTGGTTAATAATCCACCATTATTAGACACTAACATTCATAACGCGCCCGCGGCCAACTTCATGGTGTTACCATTGTGTTACAGTGACGCGCGCGCATATCGAAATTTCACTCACATGATTTTTTCATAACGCGCCCGCGGCCAACTTCATGCTGTTACTTTTGGGTTACAGTGATGCGCGCGCATCTAAAAATTTCACTCTCATCATTTTTTCATAACGCGCCTAAAGAAGTATAACTTCAAAAAAAAAGGGTAACGGATAGAATACATATACTGTAGTTATAATTTTTATTATTTTTAAAGCATGTAACTGCTTGATGTTTAAATCTAAAGAAAATATAACTAGAAAAAATTCCACGCGGACCAGGCAGCAGACGGGACTCGATCCCGCACCCTTCGCAATCCGGGCGAATGCACTGACCAATTATGCTACCGCGGCCCTCACGGACCGCGTCGAAATTCTTTCTAGCTATTCTTAAGCTGCAAGGCAGCGCCATCTCTTCGCATTATAGGTAAACCCACAATGTCAAATGAATACTTTTACAAGTATTAAACATTTGAAAGAAGAAATAGCAACTATAGTTATAATTTTTATTATTTTTAAAGCATGTAACTGCTTGATGTTTAAATCTAAAGAAAATATAACTAGAAAAAATTCCACGCGGACCAGGCAGCAGACGGGACTCGAACCCGCACCCTTCGCAATCCGGGCGAATGCACTGACCAATTATGCTACCGCGGCCCTCACGGACCGCGTCGAAATTCTTTCTAGCTATTCTTAAGCTGCAAGGCAGCGCCATCTCTTCGCATTATAGGTAAACCCACAATGTCAAATGAATACTTTTACAAGTATTAAACATTTGAAAGAAGAAATAGCAACTATAGTTATAATTTTTATTATTTTTAAAGCATGTAACTGCTTGATGTTTAAATCTAAAGAAAATATAACTAGAAAAAATTCCACGCGGACCAGGCAGCAGACGGGACTCGAACCCGCACCCTTCGCAATCCGGGCGAATGCACTGACCAATTATGCTACCGCGGCCCTCACGGACCGCGTCGAAATTCTTTCTAGCTATTCTTAAGCTGCAAGGCAAAAGGCAAGGGAAAATTATAACTATAGTTGCTATTTCTTCTTTCAAATGTTTAATACTTGTAAAAGTATTCATTTGACATTGTGGGTTTACCTATAATGCGAAGAGATGGCGCTGCCTTGCAGCTTAAGAATAGCTAGAAAGAATTTCGACGCGGTCCGTGAGGGCCGCGGTAGCATAATTGGTCAGTGCATTCGCCCGGATTGCGAAGGGTGCGGGTTCGAGTCCCGTCTGCTGCCTGGTCCGCGTGGAATTTTTTCTAGTTATATTTTCTTTACATATACTGTACATATATAAGTATATTCATCTAGAAATATATATTAAACATCCATGACTGGAGTACAAATGCTCGTATTCATCACACAAACATCTGCCCCCACCAGGATTCAAACCCGGGACCTCATGAGTCGGCGACACCATGAAACCCGGCGTACAAACCACTCGGGTACGGAGGACTTCGTCATCATTATGATCATAATTCGTCATAAATGAATAAATCACTGCATCTTTACCGTTGAAATTTGTTTTATAATTTAGATAAAAATGTTGGCAATTAATTAACGAATGATTTATTTACATCACACAAAATTAAAAGTAAGTACACCGTCGCAGAAACGCGAAGTTTCAGTCTTATCGTAGAAAGAAAACTCGGAATTTAATTTTTGCCTCAAAAATAAATTTATTGAACCGAATGGGTCTCATTATAATGTATAGAGAAAATTATGTTATCCAATGCTCATTGCATTTCGATTGTTGATAGTCGGATTGTCGTACTAAATATTGCAAGCAAACACAAGAACATCTTCTTTCGTATCGCGCTTGGAACATACACTACTACTCGTTGCTTAACGTAGCACGACGTTCACGCCCTCGATGCTGCGCACAAAGTGCTTCCAGAGAGAGAAACCTGATCCCTGTCCTTTGTCAGCGGCGGCGCTGGTTCGACAACCTGACCAGTCTCTATGACCGCTTGCCATACGCGGACGTTTCTCAGGAAACCCTATGGAAAGTTAGCTAAATGCGCAATAAACAATTAGAGGACCACGGGAACAGCTCACCGGGTGCCTGAGCTCGTGGTTGCTGCAGCAGCTCACTAAGAATGCAAACACTCTTCGACTACCAGGAAGATGAGTATGAGTGTCCGTGGTATTATTTCGACGGTTCCTACAAGACGTTGCTGGGCGCCTGTCTCATTCTATTTGGTGAGTTCACACTTCGGCGACACGGCATGGAACCGACCGTGTTTAGACTGGTTGTGACGTAAGCAGTCTCGTTATTCGATCGCCTCTAATCTGGATGTTTTGACAGGTGTATTCGGGGTGCTGCTAAACGGCTGGCTTTTTGCCACGTTTATCCACAGTCACCTGCTAGTGTTCAGGAGTCATATATTAGTCCTTAATATTTGCTCTGCGTCGCTTGGCAGGAATTTACTTGGGTTTCCGTTTTCGGGTTCATCCGCTATAGCTAAAAGGTAATTAATTATTTGAAACTAATAGACCTGATATAGCATAATATTGATGAAAATGTTATCATAACTTTAGTTATTCCTTTTACCATGATAAATAGTGAAATTAAAAATAAGGCAGTGTTCATAATAAATATAATTAATTATTTTGTTAAAGATGGCTGTTCGGCCCAGCATGTTGCCAGTTATTTGCGTTTTTGAATCAGTTCTTTGGTGTCTTCCAAATGGCCGCATTGTTTGCTATTGTGCTGGAGAGATATTTGCTAGCCAAATTTTACCGACGTGGTAAGCATAATAAAATTCTTTTAGTTTATTTTACCTTGTGTATGTGGTAATCGAGGTTTCCTCAAGATAAGAAAGACTTAATTCCTGAGCTTAAGTAAACACAAGACTTTAAAATAATAGTTATATTATACTTAACTAAACAGTAAAATTATAGATTATTCTGATAAATCTTATAACTATATTTATTTACAATATTCGATGTTAAAATAAAATTTTATTATTTAAAGTCAAACTGGATAATGTTCTCAAAGTAATATCGTTCACTGTAATCTACTAAGAGATCGATAATTCTTTTTTCCTTGGAAAAGCTTTAACAGAAAATGAAACAAACCGTAACAGTTTTTTTGATGAATAGAAAAAAAACTTTATGGTTATATATTTTTTTTTTCGCGCGTGGAATTTTTTCTAGTTACATTTTCTTTATGTATAAACCATTGGGTGAAGTTATCCAAAACTGCCAAATTTTACCAACAGAGTTTGTTCGTCACATAACTTGATTATACACATAGATACACAAAAGTTTGTGGAGACTTGATATGTGGTAGTCTGTATTTACCATTATACTGATACCTATATACAAATAAAAAAAACAATTAAGTAAAAGTAACAACGCATTATTCTTCTTTGGGCCGATTAGATTTACAAATAATTACACTCAACACCACATAATCTACGAAATTCGGTAAAATTATGTATATTTTAAAATTTATTTAATTTAAATCTAATCTAAAATTAAAAAAACAGTAACCAAATATTATTTATTACCTATATTTTTATTTTAAGCATTTAATTCTTGGGTGTTTAAATCTAAAGAAAATGTTACTAGAAAACTTCTACTCGGTCCAGTCCAGAATTCTAGTCTGAAACATGGACCGAGTAGAATTTCTTCTTGCTTTAAAAGTTTTTTTCTAGTATTTTTTTTAAAGATTTAAGTACAAAATTTTCAGAATTATCATTATACCTGCGATGGTATTGGAGCCTGGTGGGCCTATGCTGGCTGAGCGCATTGGTGTTCGCCACTCCGCCGCTGTTCAGCTACGGGGTGTACTCGTGCGACGCCACTGGCACCGTCTGTACTCTGCTCTGGCCCTCCCTGAGAGCTGGTTCTAGGCAGATCGGCTTTACTGTGCCTTATGTTGTCATATGCGGTGTAGCACCTGTCATTGCCATGTAAGAAATTCAAGTTTTTGTGTATTAAAAACTTTAATATGATTCTAATTGCTTTGATTCTAAGATCATCGTTGAGCGAAGCTTTTTTTACTGTCTATACAAATAGATAAAGTTAGGTACCTAGCTCCGCATTGCAAATCTCAGTAATTACTACAGACCTAGATTGAAGTAGACGCCGCATGTACTTTAAATTGCATGGAAACCGAGCGTGTCATGTTTTGAGTTTTCAAGAGAACAAATACAGCGAAACGTTTTTACAGCTAGGCGTGTCAAAATTTCTTGAGAACTTAAAATTTGATACTCTCGTGTTTTGCCCTACACAATCAACAAAAACATATTTACATTCAACAAAACCGTCTACACAAAACTTTGTTTCACTAGACATATTTGTTTGCATCAACAAAGTTTTTTCTTTCCGATCCCGATACCGCGTACAAAAATCATGCCCGTATTGTTTCATGGGCCCATTTTTTGACAACTCGCTAGCTAGCTACGTTCCAAACCTACGCTCCAAGTGCAACTTTTCATTCTGACGTAAAATGTGTGAAACTTGTAAAAGAGGCAGTTCAAAAGTGGTAGTCGGTTTTCGGCAGTGATGAAACATATATCATTTGAAAGCTTTTTTTATATAAATAACATTACACACACAGATATTTATTTCCCCTGTTTATTTTGTGTACGATAGCCACGTGAGAAGTAGACGGCGTGTGTAGAGAAACATGTTTCTGAAACAAAGTTTTGTGTATGTGTTTTTGTTGAATGTTTTCAAAAACTTTTCCTGGTGACCCGGCTTTAATATGACATAGTAAGATATTTAAACATTACGATTGACGATAAGTAATTAGCGTAAAAGGATGACCATTGGTGTACTGTTTGGCACGCAAAGTACATACACTTGCGTTATCTATTTCGATCTATGTCTGTGGTAAATAGCATAGTTGGGGTATCCAAAACTTTTATCAACAAAGGCTAAATAAATGATCTGGGTTATAAATTCTTTCAGATTCTATTTCATGGGGAAAGCTATACGTTTGGAAAAAATATATTACAGAAGTGAACAACAGAGAGAACAGAAACGTTTCACTAAGGTACATTTTAACACTTGATCGTGTGGTCATAGCGGTTTCGCTAAAACTTTTATTCCTTTGTGTAACTGGATTTAACGTAAGTAACAATATTGCCCCAGTACCATCAGGGTACTATCTCATGGTAGGTATAAAGGAATAGTATTAATAACCTCTATCTATAGGCATCGGTAGTGCTGATTTTAAAACGTACAACCCATAGGTTTAAGCCAAAGTGCTAACATAAAGAAACAGGTTTTCTTTCATCCATAAGGTCTATCTCAACAATATAAGATGAAATCGAAAGATGGTGAAAATTTTTGGGAATAAGTAGTCTGTTGGGACCCAAAACCTGCTTCCTTTTAGTATGTTAGCACCAAGTTAGAACCCGTAACCTGATAAGAATAACTGTTGTTCTTTTATATCGATCTTAATGATATATCTAATTGCATCTTCAATGTTTAAACAATCTACGACAAGTCGAGTTATTCAAAAGTGGTCGAGTTTCATGTTGCTAGATAAAAAATTCGTAATCAGCTAAGATGAGGTTTTTGGTAACATTATAAAGATATCGTTGAGAATGGACCAGCCTCCGTAGCATGAGCACCACAATTTACAATATATTACGTTTTTATCGCGTCTAACTGTCAAACTCCATGGTAACAAATTTTTTATCGAAACTTCGCATGTTTCTTATTCATTTAATTAGATAGTAATATTCTTCGCTCGAAAAAAGATCTAGGTTTAGATTCTCCAAGACTCAGCGAAAAATTTAATTTGATAGTTATCGTTCAAATTAAGTACCTCAGTATAACGTCAAATTGACGAAATGATTTCGTTTGAAGTTTGTTACCGCAAGGTTCGTTTTGGAGACAGAGTAGACCTTTGTTAGTATTGCTTTGTTTTTGTTTTTCAGAGCGTCCATGCCCTCACTGTGGCCACGCTAGCTCTGTGGATACCTGCCGCCGTGCTGGCTGGTTGGCAATGGTTGCCCCTACTGGTGTACGGATACCGACCTCACGTGCCCCCTGTTTTGGCTCTCATCGCTCCTATTGCTGCTGAGGTAAGCACACGTCTTATTCTATTCGCTTTGTGTCAATATTTGTAGCTTTGTATATGGTTAGTGTTAATCATCTTAGCTTAGTATTGCAATTTAAAATAATGTTCATACCAGGATATATGCAAAATAAGCAGAGAAACAAATGAGTTAATCATTGTTTTGTTTATTTTTTAAGCATTTAACTGCTAGATGTTTAAATATAAAGAAAATGTTACTATGTAGTACTATTTTACTAGTAGTTTGTGTCCCGTCAGCCGCCTGGTTCGCGTAGATTTTTTTCTGGTAAAATTTTCTTAAGATATTTATTGTATGAAAAGTTAGCATAAAGCCAATTTTTCAGTGGATTTAGAGCGCACATGCATGTACCTAAAGAAGAAAATCTTACAGAAGACCACAGTAAAATAACAGTCTTGGTGGTGTTGTGTTTCTTATTCTAAGATATGGCTCAATTGCACTTGGTCGTTAGTCCGTATTCGGGTGTACGAAAGTCATACACCTACACGAATTCGGGCAACCCAAGCAAATATTACACTGGAAGACGTACGGGCGTACTAGATTCCGTTCATTTACACTTATTCTTTTACTTGAATACCATTGACATTCGTATTATGGCTAATGCCCAAATTTAATCGCGCCATAAGGTTTCTGGGCTCTACGGGGTGGGGAATTGTGTACAGGCTTAGGTCGATAAGTCCTGCTGCGCCTTGCATAATATGATGAGATAAACAGTTTCAATCACACTCCACGCATCAAAAACATCAAGCTTGTAAATGCTTGCATAGTATGTTGTTGTCAGGACTTTTAGTAATAGTTTGCTATATCAATTTATTTTCAATACTGACCAGTCTGCAATAGACGATTAGCAGTCGCCTAGGAATGCATTACTATTTGACATTTTTTTCTTTTACTCCTAGTCCCGCTGGAGATACTTTCTGTTAATTGTTATATTCATCACTAAAATCCAAATGTGCAAGGGTTAGAGTATTTGGCTTATGTACCAAGCGACAAGTAAAGGTACAATTCCGCAATGGCCTGCAGTAGACAACCGCAGGCGACACTGCGGCTAGCGCCTGCGGCTGACCGTGCATTATATGCATTGTGCAGCCGCGGCATGTTGCCGCGCTCGGAATCAATTTCATAGAGATTCATAGAAACTAGTAGTGTCACATGCAGTCTGCCGCTGCGGCCTGTGGTCTGCGGTTCAGTTCGGACTTGTACCTTTAAAATACGCAAATATTTTTAGGCAGCCACCAGTGTTCCCGTACTGTGCTATCTAACTGTGGACGAGAGGCTTCGAGCCGCCTTACTGGGCCGAATGAGGAAGCAGTACGCGTTGTTGCACCCTTCCCGGGCCAAAAAATTCAATCTCAACCTCCTTGGGAACTACTCCAAGAGTTATACCAGCCTCGAGAGAAACATTAGAAAAAGTTCAACCAGCCTTTGGAATAATAATACAGCTCTCTAAAAAGGTCTGCTTAACTTTAAACACAAAGAAAATGGAAAACGGCCCAATATATTGGAGTGAAGCAAAGTGTACATTTTAGTTAGATGAATAATTTTGATGAAAGGTTTTTTTTTGTTGAGCTTAATCAATTACAAAAAGACTGAATAGAAAATGTCATTGCGAAATTTGGTTATTTCAGTAAAATAAATATGTACCTACTTTAAGTGTAAAAATAAGTAATTTAATTAAATTAAGAGTTCAGAAAATGTTCATCGTTTTATTTTCCGATTTTATGTATTTTTTAATCTGATGGATGAACCGGTAAGTGGTTTCTTCTTCTTTTCTACATTTCGACAGTTCAACCAAGTGTCGGTTAAATCGTTATCATTGAGATTTTAATATAAATGTAATGTGTTCAACTGTAGAGGTAAAACTCAGATTTATTTTTCTATAGAGAAAACTCGGTCACCCAAACTGATCTTGAATTTCTTTACGTTAAGTGGATACAATATATTATTATCTGTGGATATCATACGCACAATCAAATAAATAAAACGTGAGTACCTAACAATTTACAAGAAAAAACCTCAATTTATATGCCTGCCTAAAATAGTTTTTGAATGAACACTGATGCCCTCTTTTTCTATTTTTTTGGCAATTTTGTGAACATAATTATGATATCATCGACATAATAGTATAAAAGTATGAAGACCGACTAATTATATTACCTTGATATCGTGAAAATCACCCAATCAATAAGATGTAAACATATTTTGTAATCAGAGAACCGTCGGGTCTGTGATTTGTTGTAGAATAACGTAGAGGGGAGTCGCTAAGGAGATGGGGTGGGTTTTGATCCCCATCCATCCCAGTTTCAAGGACTCGTCTCGTCTGATTCCCCACCATTATACATCGGCGTCGCGACGTAACAGGTACTACTGTAGCAAACATAAACATCTATGATTTATTATTAATCGTAAACAAGGAGGGTACGCAAGTATAAAAAGAGACAGCGCAACTCTGCAGTTTGGAAAGCACGTAAGTTATGTTTGTGTTTGATTAAAACAGTATTAAAAATCTTAAATATTAGTAGGCACCTACTGTATTTGCTTATCTAAATATTATTCTGCACATTTACCTGAACTTGTATTTAATTTCTCGTAGTTGAATTGATCATAGTGATTTAACTTTTAATTATTGTCTAGTATTTAAAACTCACTTCTAATTTTCAACAACATTTAGATAAGGTAAAGAAAATCCAGTTATGTTTTGACTATTGTATTGTCACATATTAGTACAGTATTTACTCTTGAAGCAAATCCTGCTCAACGTGACTAGATATGTACTTTTATGAAAGGGCTTTTGTTGTAAGTAAATCTGTAAACAATGTTGACAAACAGAGTGTGGGATAACCGGTACTTTCGAGGATGCAACACGAGAAGCACTAGGTGCAGTGTGTAAGCCGTCCCTTCCACGCAAGCGCGTTACATCTCTCCCGGTTAGCTCGCAAATTTAGACCGTTAACAAGGTGTTTTCGCCTAAGACTAAACTAGATTTTAAGCCAACTTCTTTGCTCATTAACATAGTCTTACTGATATAGCAGAAGGCTGAGCTATGGCACTCGAGGACAATGTAATCGAAGAGGAAAACAGCTGCCAATGGGATGGTATACTCAACAAGTGTTCGAAAGGTTTCGATATGTCTTACTATATGGATAATATAGGTATGGGAAGGTTTCTTATTGTTTGTTATAGCTTTATATTTTTATATTTAACTAAAGTTGGTCAAGTTTTGGTGTGTTATGTAAGCGTGGTTCATTTAGAATGACTCATTTTTTTAAATGTTTCTCCGTGCTCTGAATTTAATTTACTTATTTGAAATAAGGACTTCTTGAATTTTGGTTATTGTACTTACAAATATAACAAAAGGCAACGACAGATATCCCATCAACTTACATTAGACAGATATTATTACAGAGAAAGGCAATTTTATCATCATCAGCCTATTAATAGGGTTGCTGAGTAACTTTTTTTCTTCGTCTATCATGTAGATTATTAAATTGTTTTGGGAATGTATTTTTTCTTTATTCACATAATCAAAACATTACCGAGATAATTGATTTAAAATGTCGCCTGATGTTACGTCTTGGTACAATTTTTACTTAAAAGTGACATCACGAGCATCTCCCAAACTTTAACGCGCTTCATCTTTGTGCTTTTTCGGTTGATTGACAGAAGAAAAAATAAGTGTTAGGTTTTTTATTTTTTAAGCATTTAACTGCTTGATGTTGAAATCTAAAGGAAATAGATATGATAAATAAAGGAAAATAAACAAAATTCCATATAACCTTAGAGTTAGGTAAATCAAGAAATAATGGACACTTATTTTTTTATCTAAAGAAAAGTTTACTAGAAAATATTCCACGCGGACCAGGCAACAGACGGGACTCGAACCCGCACCCTTCGCTATCCGTATTGTGGTTTACCTACAATGCGAAGAGGTGCGAGTTCGAGTCCCATCTGCTGTCTGGACCGCGTAGATTTTTTTCTAGTAAACTTTACTTTAGATTAAAAAGCAGCTCCATATCGTACGTGTGTAACGAGAACTAATAATCAGTACATATTTGACAATGACATTTCGTAATTGCAAACGATACGAATTTGATATTGATTCGTGCTAAGTGTACTGTAACTGTATCGTACTGTCAAAGTTTCTATGAAACCTAAGCAGTGCCCCTATTGGACGTAAGAGCAAACTAGCCTTTTCCAAACAAAGTTTGACAATGGCGATACGATTAGGCAGCTGTCATAATTCGTGCTTAGGTCTCTATACAGATTCGGTACAAGAACGAAACCTATACGATTCGGCGGGGAAGGCGCCTTATAGTCACCAATGATTCTTATGTACTACTTGTAGGAATTTTAGCGGTGTTCTATGGATTGTGGATAAGCTGTACAATAGTGACATCGAAGCTGTTCTCAGATCAAAGTTATCGTAACATAGTCACGTATACTTTGGCCTCTGGACTGCGCCGGTCAACACCAGCGCTAATACATATTATACCGTACAGCGAGACCATCTATATGTAAGTATTTCTTATGCTAGCACTTCACATGGCAATTAGTATTTGCTAAACGCAGCTGTCCCACCGCCGGTAAGGAAGCGATAACTATCGGCAATTACTCGCTCAAGGAAAGATAAACATTTCGATCGCTCACTGCTCACACTCGTTTGTCGCTGAGCGACAAGAGCTTTCAAAGATAACCCTCTTTCAGCGATGTTCGTTTGGCCGTCAGAACGCGCGCGTGTGCATTTTTGATCAGAACTGCCTTGACGTGTGATAAATCGCCCAACTTACACGTACACTCGCGCAGCGATTAAACTATCGAAAATACACCCTCGCTTCCCGCCGATTATCAACTGGTTTCTAGTTTTTAGTTCTACTCGCTTCTCGGTCTTCGTCGGTTGTGGGACAGGTGCCACCATCAGGCAGAGAATATGCATGTTTTAGAACCTTTTCCAATAATAAAAACATACCTGCATTATCAACCAGAGTTTGATAGTCAGATTTTGATATGAATTTTAAAAATTAACATTTAAAATAACAATGTCCCTTGCTTTTAGGTGGGATACATTTTCGTTTGTAACATGCGATTTTTTTGGTTTTTGGGAAACACTTTTCGCGGTATTCGAAATGGAAAGTCTGACGATGGTCTGTATCGAGCGGTACGTTTTGGCTAAATACAAAACTAATGGTAAGATATCACTTCAATCTTTCTTCAATAGGTATTTGTTTTTGTTGGTATTGTCGTTTTATAAATCTGTGTCCTGCTCATGTCGATACGTCAAAGAGGCGTTATTGCAAAATGAGTATTCAATAATCACAACGCAAGTTACAAAACTTTTGAGAAATCATTTGGTTTTCGACTTATTAATATTCAAATAATCGGTCTTTAACTATGAAATTGTCGTTCTGCGTTCTGGCTATTTCAAGTCCATTTTTTTTCGCGAAGAATTCGAAGTTCCTATTATTTTTATTTTCTAAATATACAATTCTGTTGTGAAAATTAGTCATTTGTTTAATGGTTAGCGTTCATACGTTAAAGAATCGAGTGATTATGGTGAGTACCGTCGTGGCAGCAATGCGGCAGAAGCTGCACGTTACATCAACGACGTATACGTAGCGAACACTACCAACGATCGCACCACCCGTTATTGGTTGGCCCGTTTCCGTTCTGGAAACTACGACCTTAAAAATAAACCCCATAGTCGACCAAAAACTTTAGTCGACAATGACGAATTAAAGGCAATTGTGTAAGCTGATGATTCTCAATCTACAGCTGTATTAGCAGCAGCTTTCGATGAAACATTATTGGTCCATTTGCGTCAAATTGGCGAGGTAAAAAATCTTGACAAATGGGTGCCCCACGAGCCTTGCACTGCTCAACAGGCACACAAACGAAGGCATATTGAATCGGATTGTTACTTGCGACGAAAAATGGATTCTGTTCAACAATTGCAAGCGCTCAGCGAGTTGGTTAGATCCTGGTTCAACACCTAAAAAAGCCCCAAATGAAAACTGACCTCTAAAAAAGTGATGGATGGAAGTCTAGCGCCGGTTTCATAGCTTCTTACCGGGGTGAGAATTACTACAGATGTGTACTGTGAAGAATTTAACACAATAAAGGAGAACTTCGCACATCTCCAACCAGCTTTGGTCATGCCTTCGGCTCCCCTGCTCTTGCACTGCGATGCGCGACCTCAAACTGCACAGCAGACGGTCTTTAAGTCACAAGAGCTGGGGTTGGAAGTTCTCCGCCTTCCACCGTACTCACCAGACCTGGCATACAGACTTCTACTTTTTACAGAATTTGGATAACTTCTTAGCGGGGGAAAAAACAATAACCGACAGGCAGTTCAAAATGCCTTTGAAGAATGTGTTGCCGCCTAATCAGCAGACTTTTTAAAAAAGGGCATTAGTAAGCTACCACTACGTTGGCAAAAATGCATTGATTGCATGGGTATTTTACTTTGATTAATAAAAATAAAAAATAGAAAAAAAGGGCGTTAACTTATTTCATGAAAAACGGCTATTTCATAGGTAAAGACCAATACATGTCTTGATTCATTGATGCTTACATAATTTATTTTTTTACTAAATTTCTTATTCTTCTTTGCAACGGGCGTTACGCAACTCGACGTCCTTATGGTACCTTATGGTATTTTGAGTATGTTGTTACTAAGTTTACAAATCTGGTATTAAACTTAAAACATGAAACGAAGATTATGTTTGTAAGCTTAGTTATGTTAGCGTTATCTTACGCAGTGTTTTGTTGATTCCCAATAGATATTGCCCAATGAATATTTAACTTCATAACATAGAATTATGACCTACTTCTTGATTAATTTCGATTTCCCCGTGTTTTGTGGTAAGGATGATAAAGAATTTAATGTTTAAAAGATACCTTTTTTCAGGTTGGGAAGTTCCAAAGGGTCATTTCTATTTGTACTGCAGCTTGTGTGGTTTATTTGCCGTTTGCTATGCCTATCCGCCCCTAGTGGGGGTAGGACAGTACGCTAAGGATTTTGACTGTGTTCATTGTACTTTCGACATGATCCTTCCATCTGCAGGCTGGCAGAGAGCTATGGTAGTGCTCATCTTCTTCATGAGAAGCATAAAACCGTGTATAATGATGTTAGTATTATTTTAGAGTTCTTTCTTAACTGTATTAAGGTACGCAACTCAACAATGCAATGGATGACAATATCTATTAAATGAATAGGTACCTATACTCAGTTTTAATCTTATTTTGGCAACGTGTTCAAAATAATCCTAATGGATAACGCCTCCTTCTGTTAGTGATGTCCGTATGATTTTCATATTGTTAATGGTACAGTAGTTCCATATATTATAATGAACATATACAAATTTCTCGCGGGCGGGGGGACTCTACTCAAGAATGTACCTCGTCTAAAGTTTACTCTATTATTCATTGGTGATATAATTAAGCTATTCGATCAGGCGTTTATTATGATTATACAAGATGCAAAGTCTCAATAAAATATTAAATATTGTTAATCAGGATTTTGATGTTGTATTGGGCGCGTAATCTGGAAATGAAGCTGAAGAATAATCAAGCACAGAGGATGATGACGAAGGTAAGCTGCATTTGTAATTTTTTTATTGAATGAGGATTAGACTAATTCGCTGTACCTATTTCGTATAATGCTGCGTTTCCACTTATGCTCAAAACATTTGCTCACTCGGTAAATGGAAACACCAGAGCGAGCGAACGAGCTCGTGCAACGATGTTTGACTGGATTCAGGGAACGAATGCTTTTTTGCTCAGTCGTCAATGGAAACAACGTTACATTCTTTTGAGCATTCCATTGACAAAGCTCACAAATGTGTGCTCGCTCGGAACTGTTCTGAGTACCAGGTGGAAAAACCTTCGTGCTTTTGTTTACAGGGCGTAGTAGCCGCAGTGTGTATTCACCTGATATGCATGCTACCCATCACCGCTATCCGAGGCGGCGTGATACTGTCCCAGCTGATCTACGGCGAGGTTCTGGTGTTTGGGCAACGGTTCATCTCATTGGCTATGTTTTTTCATTGGGTAAGTTCAATACTAGTAGTTGTTACATAAGAAAAAGGTCTTAATGACTGTATTGTCCAAAACAATATTTATTTATACTTTATTGCAAAAATGTCTTAAGGCTTTCTCTACCAGTCGAACAGTAAGAGCGTGAGAAAAAAATACGGTGTTGCAAAGGACTAAGGACAAAATATATGAATTTGAGAAGAACTTCGTAATCTAATTACATACATTATAGTTAGTTACAGAATTGAAGTTATATATTAGAATGTTGTTCAATCACTCGAAAATAGCTGAATAAACTGAGATAGTCTTGTCAGTGACAAGACGCCAAACGCCTTTTTTTGTGTCTATGGTGACAAGTTGTCACCATAGACACAAAAAAAGGCGTTTGGTTGCAATAAATCGCACTTTATTGATTTTATGGTATGTTGTTAGGATATTTGCTAATAGAGTAACAATAAATTTGCAGCTTCTAAAGACCTGTGACCTGACCTGCGTGGTGCCTCAAAAACCTCGAAATTTTCGTTTTTTTGCGGCTTCTTCCTGGTAACTTTTGAAATACAGTTAATTTCTACATTTTTTAGTATAAAATATTAGCTACATATATTACTATTACATATGAATGCCATTTAAACTCGTAGGACTGATAGATTTTGAAATACAGCACTTCAGAAATTGGCTATTTTCCCCAAAATGTGGGAAATTGTAGTCTTAGCCGTATTTTAGCCAGACTTTCTATCAAAATATTTATTCTACGAGTAAATTTGCAAAAATGAATTTGTAAAACAATTATTTAGGTACGATATTTTATAGGATATGACTGATCCCCTATGGGTGGAGTAAATATTATAAAGAATGAAAACGAGCAGGCTATATTTTATAATTTTTATTATTTTAAAGCATGTAACTGCTTGATGTTTAAATCTAAAGAAAATATAACTAGAAAAAATTAGATTTAAACATCAAGCAGTTACATGCTTTAAAATAATAAAAAATATAACTATAATTGCTATTTCTTCTTTCAAATGTTTAATACTTGTAAAAGTATTCATTTGACATTGTGGGTTACCTATAATGCGAAGAGATGGCGCTGCCTTGCAGCTTAAGAATGGCAAGAAGAATTTCGACGCGGTCTGTGAGGGCCGCGGTAGCATAATTGGTCAGTGCATTCGCCCGGATTGCGAAGGGTGCGGGTTCGAGTCCCGTCTGCTGCCTGGTCCGCGTGGATTTTTTTCTAGTTATATTTTCTTTAGATTTAAACATCAAGCAGTTACATGCTTTAAAATAATAAAAATTATAACTATAATTGCTATTTCTTCTTTGAAATGTTTAATACTTGTAAAAGTATTCATTTGACATTGTGGGTTACCTATAATGCGAAAAGATGGCGCTACCTTGCAGCTTAAGAATGGCTAGAAGAATTTCGACGCGGTCTGTGAGGGCCGCGGTAGCATAATTGGTCAGTGCATTCGCGCGGATTGCGTAGGGTGCGGGTTCGAGTTCCGTCTGCTGCCTGGTCCGCGTGGAATTTTTTCTAGTTATATTTTCTTTAGGCTATATTTTGTAAGCGCTGGAGCACTAGAGGCAAAGTTGCAGGAATATTTTGCAATTCTTAGCATGTAACTAGAAATAATTTCCCCCCATTTGGTGATTAAATGCAGTATCTGATAGCCTATTCAGAGTCATGCCAAATAAACTACCAGGTCGAGAATTAAATAAAATTACAGCAGTTCTTAGTAACTTTGCATCAGTCTTTCAATCGGAACGCAAAAAGCGACCTTACCACAGATGGTGCAACAATATAGATAAATAAATAATAAATATTTCCATCACACACCAAAATTAGCTTAAACCCAAAGTGTGCACTGTAAAGCTTGTGTAATGGGATACTAGGATAACGGATAGAATACATATATTGTATATATATAAGTATATTTATATAGAAATACATATTAAACATCCATGACTGGAGTACAAATGCTCGTATATATCACACAAACATCTGCCCCCATCGGGATACGAATCCGGGACCTCCCGAGTCGGCGATAGGATGAAACCCGGCGTATAAACCACTCGGCCACGGAGGCCGACAATAAAAACATATTAGATCATTTATCTGTTAGATCGTGCTGTTAGTATGACTGATAACTATCGGAAACTTCATCAGGGACTGACCCTTATTCTCCATATCTAAATTTGGTTTACTTAAACTTCATGAAGGTGATAGTGACATAATGGAATTGATTAGAATGTAGTTGTAGTATAAATACATAAGTATAATAAAGATATTGCTGATCAAATAGTACGTGAAATATGGATCACACATGCAGAGCTTAAAGCCGCTTTTTCGAAATATCATTATTTAAAATTTGAAATGTTTTTTAAGCTTTTTTTTTCTGATTTCAGTCTTCTCCAGCGTACACCATGTTTGGTCTAACCGTGTACGATTCTCATCTCCGTCAGCAGCTGATAAACTTCTTCACAAACAGACCTGAAAATGATCGGAACAGTGATGATACTACAAACTGAGCATTATTGGAGAAACTTAAACTTTAAATTGTCCTTTTGATACTTAGCTACGTAGTTCTTCAAGGCATATATTAAATTGATATTCAAAAAAAGTAATTGATCCTCAAAATAATACAATTGGTAACATATACCTCATACATATAACTCTTAGGTTACCAATATACACAGTCAGGTCATAAGTATTGTCACACAGTAAAAACTTTTCTTTTAGAATGCTAGCCACAAAAAAGTTTATTGAATTCTAATTTCAAATTGTTCATGAAAATAAAAATGTATACTTTTTAGAATTTTACTCATTTTTAAATATGGAGTGGACGCTTAAGGAAGACCGTGTTGCAGTTATTGCGTTGCATCGTTGCGGTTACGCGCCAATTCAAATTTTACATACTGAAAAATTTGAATATAACCAAAAGATTCGTTTATCGTACCATCAAACGATACAATGAAGACTCTTGTGTAGATGACAGGTCAAGAAGTGGTCGCCCTCGGTCTGTTAGGACTCCAGCAGTGATAAAAGCTGTGATAGCGCGAATTCAAAGAAATCCCAAAGTAAGAAGAAACTGTTGGCCCTTCAGATGGGGTTAAGCAGAACCACGATGAAAAGGGTGTTAAATGAAGACTTAGGACTTCGGGCATATCGAAGAAAAACAGGAAATCGTTTGAATGCTCGTCTAATGGACTTGAGACTGAAGAGATGCCGCGCTTTGTTGGAGCGGTACGCGGGAAAAATTATCGGGAAATTCTTGTTTCGGATGATTAAGTTTTTACCGTAGAAGAGAGCTACAACAAACAAAATGATAAGGTGGACGCACACAGTAGTGAAGAAACGAACACCCGTATTCCGCGTGTCCAACGTGGTCATTTTCCATCCTCGCTCATGGTATGGTTGGGAGTTTCTTATTGGGGCTTAACAAAGGTAGAATTTTGTGAGAAAGGTGTAAAAACGAATGCAGTTGTGTATCAAAATACAGTCCTGACGAACCTTGTGGAACCTGTTTCTCATACCATGTTCAATCACAGGTACTGCGTATTCCAACAAGATTCGGCGCCAGCTCATAGAGCGAAGAGCACACAAGACTGGCTGGCGGCGCGTGAAATCGACTTTATCCGGCACGAAGACTGGTCCTCCTCCAGTCCAGATTTGAGTCCGTTAGATTACAAGATATGGCAACACTTGGAGGAAAAGGCGTGCTCAAAGCCTCATCCCAATTTGGAGTCATTCAAGACATCCTTGATTAAGGCAGCCGCCGATATTGACATGGACCTCGTTCGTGCTGCGATAGACGACTGGCCGCGCAGATTGAAGGCTGTTTTCAAAATCACGGAGGTCATTTTGAATAAACTTTATTGTCATAAGAATCTATGTTTTGTTAAATTCATTTTGGTATATAAATGGTTACATAATGAATAAACTTGTTTCAATTATTTTATATTAAACATGTGACAGAATTTATGACCTGACTAGGTATATTGTATAGGTGTTCATTTAGTATATTTTTGAGGATCATATAAATTTGTGCCTTGAAAAGCTAGCTGTTGAAAAGATAATTTAAAATTTCAATAATACTGAAACAATTTTATTTTAGACTTAAGGGAAACTAAGTTTTTAAGTTAGGCAATTAAATTTAAATGAAATTAAAATCCATAGGTAAAATTTTGGACAATCATTAGAAAATGATATAAAATAATAACGATAATGATTAATGTCGTTCTATAGATCTGTATCGCTTTACTAAACTTCAGTATTATTATAGAAATAAGTTTTAATATACCATTATATATATAAGGGTCAATTACTATAATATAATAGTAAAAACCATTAATTACCTTTGTTTGAAATTAAAGTTAGAAGGTATCTAAATAAATATTTTTAGATTAGATATTTAAATTTTGTTTTTGGTTTAATATTTATATCCATTAAATAAAACTAGTTTTTACGGGTTAATGCAAACGTACGTTAACGGTTAACGAAACGTCAATAAATAAATAAAGTTTCGTGCATTAACCCGTAAAAACTAGTTTTATTTAATGAGTGATGTGCGTGAAAACCTAAGAAACAAATATTTATATCCATATTTGACTATTTAGGTATGTATCAATAAGGGCAAAGAATGAAAATAATTTTACCTTCTTCAATTCCATTATATTTTGATATTAGTTATATACAAGTATGGCAACATTAATGTACACGGCAGCGCATTAGATGCGCAAGATTAACAATATAATAATAGTTTTATAGAGAAATATTTGTACGAAGAATATTGTTTAATAATAGTTCATTAATAAACAATATAAATGATTATATTAATTCAGTCGAAGAGTTACAATAACAGCAAAAGGAAGATACTACCGCGTATACTACTGAACACAAATCGGAAGTTTCGATGAATCAAATTTAGGCTGGATTCATACGGCAATACACCGCACGTTTCTTACCTTATCAGATTTCAATCGTATCAAAGAGTGGCATTATGTTTAATGCAATATGTATGTATTCCTTTTTGTAAAAGACGTAAACAGTGGCGAGGTTTACAAGTTTATTCGATTTGGTTGAAAAGTTGCACGTTATTTAATGAAATAAACAACATAAAACAAACATAAAAATTGTATGTTACTGCAAAAACGTAAATCGATTGTTGTTTAGCTGTCGTAGAAAAAAACATAATAATGACGTGCTGTAGGTGTGAGGTATAACGTATTACGTCATGGAGGAATAATTAAATAAATAATGGTATGCTTTAAGTTCTCAGATTTTTATCGATTTAAGAAAAATAACAGTCTTATTCGATAAAACATATATCGTAAAAACGTGCGGTATAATATCCTATGAACGCACTCTTACCTCCGATAACGATAAAAGTTAGTGGGCCCTTTACAGATGAAAAACACCATAGAAATTACAATAATAATATAATATCATACATATAGGTATATATAATTACTTCTACGATCACATGAGACAGATTATGCATCTAGAACTTATAGGAACCATTCTACCCACGATTGGTCCACGTTAAGGCCGTCATATTAATTTAAGAAACTCATAAAATAAATTCATAAATGTAAAATGACTTATTGTGGCTAAGATGTTACAGGGCGGTTATTTCTCTCACCCGTCACGGGCGGCCGCAGTGCTGTTTTCAAAACTCACGAGACCGCAGTTGTCTGCCGTTCCGCAGCCGTCGTGGCTGTGAGATCAGCCGAAATTCGCCGCGTCTGCGGGTGAACGAATCACGCGCGTCTGTGGGCACAAATCGCGTCGTGATTTTTGCATTTTACTTACAACTTTATATTCTACTCGCGTTGCGGTCCTGCAACCGCAGCTGGCTCGGGAGAAAAGCACGCCGTGACTTCTTAGCCAGTTTTGGAACATTATGAATATTTTATAAGAGTAATTTTAAATGGTTTAATAATGGTCTCATATGGTACTTTAAGACAATACATATTAAATAAAAAAAATGTATAACCCATAAATAAAGGGAGTTGTGGAAATATTTAATCAGTCAATGTCTTTAAATTTCACTATCATTAAAAGATTTAAACATTGAAATATGTTTCATTTTGTGTGAGTACGTGTATTTGAATGGATATTATTTCTTTGCTGCATATTAAGTACAGTCAAGGCCATAGAGCATTTGACGTTATCAGCTTTCTTGCTACTTCGCAATAACTTCTCCCACACCTGCACGACGTAGCTTTGATACTGAAATATGCTAAAATTACCTTTCGAAAGAATTTGTTCCATCGTAAGAAGGTGCGCTGCATCAGCTGCACATACAAATTTATCGTCTCCCACAATCTCTTTTATTCGTGTCAAGTTATCAAATAGCGTCTACAGAGATGCAGCTTGATAGAACTAAATTCATATTACAGGGATGGGAAACCAATAACCACAGTCAAAGTGTATCTATTTTTGTGGACTTGACGGTACTTACATGACAATAAAAATAGATAATTAAAGACTGCAGATTGATATTTGTAATGAACCATCGACTGAAAAGCTGAGCTGGGTCAGTACAATGAAATTTTAATGTGGTGTGGTCAGCAGAAACAGCTGTCAGAATGGAATACCGGCCACTCTATCGCAATATGTATACCAATTTCTCACTTTTATAATCGCAACTAATTCGCGGGAGGATTTCATGATATTGGCCCTGATCACCTTTTTGGTTTGGAATCAAAGATTTATACAATAGAAATGCTAATATAATTTTTATGCTTTACGCACTTGTGACGACAATTGTACCTAATTTACAGTCAGTCGTCCATAATTAATAACAATTTACAAATAGACAATTTCACTATATAGCTTATAATTAAAATTCATATAATTTAGCAATTGGTTGCAGTTCTTTGGGTAAGACGTCGGCACTTGTTAAACTTAAAAAGAATATTGCACCTTCACTATCACCACTATCACTCTACTAACTGTCTGGAATGAGTTTGATGGCTCTCGTATTCATCGGAAGAGTCATAATCATCGGAACTGTTACCTATATATACCCTGTTAGTCTCGGAAGGCGTGGAGGGACTGTTCAGTATTATAAGCGGGTTATTCCTCGCGCCTAGTGGGTTAAACCCGCACGAGACCACTCCGCTCCTAGTGAGGTTGGTCCCGCTTCTAGCCAGGTTAAACCCGCTTCTACCAATACTGGACCCACTTCTGCCAAGGTTGGACCCGCTTATAGGAAAGTTGGTCCCTCCTTCGTGTAGGTGATGCTATATGTCCTCGAGAGCCGTTTCCGCGTTCCATCGACGCCGGTTTCGCCTCTCAATGACAGGAATGAAGAACAGGATCAGCCCACTCAGGGATATCGTGGCTCCGGCCACATAGAACGCTGGCGCGTAAGAGTTTAAGGCGTCAAACAACCAACCTGTCATAAGGAAAATAATTAGGATTATTGTATTTAAATATTTTCTGACAAACGAAAAAACCTCTATGGATGTTTTGGAAAATAATGTTGGTGTTAAAGCTAACTAAAGTAATGTGTAACATAAAACCAGTACAATATATCTATAGCTAACATCGTTTTCGTAATATAGGTCCTGGAGGTGCATAAAAATCAAGCTAGTTCCCAAATAGACCATTTTTAAATATGGCTTACAAGTCCCAAATCATAGTCACAATTCTTATTAAGATGAACCCCGCCACAGAGAAGTAGAACTGTTAAGTCATGGCTGTTTATATGTATTTCTAGGTAAGTATAATTATATATTTATCAGTTTAATGGTGTCGATTCTGGCGTGATTTTCTAAACATACAACTTAATTTAGCACCAGTCACAATGACAAGGATTCTCTGTTGTCAAATTTAAGTTTAGGTTTAGTGAATCATGCCAGAATCGACACCCATAATATGTATGCTATACGTTACCCATAACATACTTGTATCCCATCATAACACAAGTCTTACAGAGCTTACATTGGGGCTAGGCTAATTATTACTATTAGCACCTCGGACGTGAGCCCCACGTAAGCACCCGATGATGGTGAACCCGAACACCGTTGCGTACATTGCAAGACCACATTTCATGTTTTTAATTTGAATTAGCTTCGCATTTCCAACTCTTATATTCAGTCAGTCTCCAGCTTTTAAAGGACTTCCTAAGATGAATTACTTACCAGCGAACGGTGGGCCGATAAGCGAGGCGATGCCCTGGAACAGCAGCAGCAACCCAAAGGCATTGGTCAGCTTCTCTATTCCTAGCAGGTCCACTAGCACCACGGACGTGAGCCCCACGTAAGCGCCGATGGTGAAACCGAACACCGTCGCGTACATCGCCAGACCCCAGAACTCCCAACATTGCATCGCCATCGCCGTGCCTGAAATACATGATGGATCTTATAGATACTTAATTCTGGCTTTTTCATTTAACTTAATATATTAAGCAATCCGCTCTGTCTTTGCACGGGAGAACTTTATTTAAACTTAATAAAATATTGCCTACCCTATGTTATTCAGAGATAAAGTAACAGTCTCATGTTGAGATAAGTTCAGTGCTTTTTGAGTTTATTTTTTACAAATATACAACACTTTTTTACTCTATTCCAGCACAGTCGTGTAATAAAAAATATTAAATCGCTATACGATTTTGTGATCAATTTTACTTTTAATTATATTTTCATAAATAGGTGGTGTGTTTATTGTATTATTTGAGGCTGAAATTCATTCTGTGGCTACTACCCTAAATACCCTGTCACGACTTTCTGTACTTTAAAAGGACATTGCTCGTTCCCCATACATTGAATGCCCTAGAACGCCCAGCAATGAGAAAATGCTAGTTGTGTTCGGAATCATTCATAAACTCTAAATAAGCATTTGTTGAGATACGGACAACTTGAGGAACCGTGGCCTACTACAGAATGTATTAGATTTTGAGGTTATAATTATTATACTTAATCATAAAAGATGTACACTTTATATATTCTGAATAGATTTAGTGTTTACCTCTATGTAAGCACTTAAATAATATGCATTAAATGAACATAAAATGCAATTTATAATAAAAATAATAAATGCTTATATTCTTATTGATTTTACCTGTAGTAAGTAATGATAGATTTGTTTTCAAATGAAATGTTCAGTCTTTCCATTTACCTGTTTCTATATTTTACTAACGGTAATTAGGTATGTACCTGGTTACCATTACGATTTTCATAAAAATAAACAGATATTACATGGGATGGGAGTATAAACTATCTTTAGATAATTTCAGAAATAATCTTTTTATAAATATAATATAAATACTAGTAATAAGTATTATTAACTAAGGTACCTAGTTCTATTTTTATGTTGATAAATACCTATGGTCGCCTATATTGCATAACTAAGGTAAACAATCTTGGCACAACTTTTTAACAGAATCACCCATTTAATAATAAAATATTAACGAAGAAAATAAACTATTAAAATAAATCGTTATTATAGACTGAAACCTATTGAATCCAGTTATCAGTTGATTTTTAATGCTGTATTTTCAATAAAAAGGAGTGCCAAGTTGGATGAACAGACTGTAGTATCTAGTAAGAGAACTTTTATTTTTTAAACAGATTGTCCGTTTACTATGATTAATTGCTAATAAGTTAAAAAAATAATAGAAAAATAATAGTGAAGGACATTCTTTTGGGCATGCTAGGGCCGAATTCGTCGATGTCCTTTAGCCATTGTTCCCAGCTGCACCTGCAGTCGTGAGTACATACTAATGTATTATATTGTGCCCACGAGGCGGGTATGGCAGGTTCTTCTTGTATAGGTAATTTCATTAGAGAAGATATATGTCTCAACAGTACATTTCAGTTTTAGTACTAATGTTTAAAAGATATAGTTTTGAATACTTACTTATGCCAGCGATCGTAAGGCACAAATTGTACGCGAGCAAACGGTTCACCCACGGTCTGTCACTGATGAATCCTAAAATTATCCTGCCGATTAAGTTTGCGCCACCTATTATCGATATCAAATAGGCCGAGTTCGTCACTCCCATCTTTTCACTCATAGGCACTGTGTATACGTACGGAATGTAAAAGCCTATGCTAGTTAAGAAGTTAGATAAAGAAAATAGTATAAATATTGGGTCTACTAGTAGCGAAAGGTCGAGCATTTCTGATAAGGCGGCTTTAGATTCCGCGGAACATGGTAGCCATCCACATTTTGTTTCTTTCTCTTCCTTCGGAGCTGTAATTCTATCCGGGGAAGGTACTCTGAACTTTGCTATGCTAGTCATGCTTCCTTGATATAGGACGTCCGGCCTTTGCATTATACCGCTTCCGTGTCGCGAATGTGATCTGACGAAGTGGTGTTTCTCCTGTTGCTGGTGTTTGTTGAGCGCAGGCTGCGATAGCGTTAGTCTTGCTGTGTCGCTCTCTTCAATTTTTCCGTTCGCCCGGATTACGTGCTCTGTGCTCTGAGATCTTTTTAACGGAGTGTTATTAGCTTTCATAAGCATTCTTTCTGTGGTTGGCGTTCTCGGCCGATCAGGTACTGGTCGGAACATGAGCCCTAATGGCACACAGTTCAGGATTAAAGCACCGATGATCGCCATCGCTCCTCTCCAGCCGTATTCTGCGATTAGACCGGATGTTAGGGGAGCGAACAGAAACGTCCCTAAGCCTGAACCACATACTGCGATTCCTGAAAAAGAAATAAACGTTGACTGTTATTTAACTTCTTATTTTCTTCGTATTGTTTGCTGATCATACTTCTTTATTATTTAAGGTTGACCGATACAAGAACTTTGACGATGTAAATAATGCTCTTTCACAAGTAGTGCACTGGTTTTATGTAAATAACTTAAAATAAAACCAAATGCATTAAATTCAATTTACCTAATGTTAGAAGCGAAACCATTAGAATTAAATTAAACAATGAAAACCTAGATTTAGTTGAATCAACGATATTCTTAGGTATAATCATAGACTCGAAATTGCATTGGTATCCTCATATTTCTCTGCTAGCTGGTAAACTTAGTTCAGCAGCCATACGTAAAATAAGACAACTTACTGATGTAGCTACTGCTAGAACTTTATACTTTAGTTACTTTCATAGTATTGTATCCTATGGTATTATTCTCTGGGGAACAGCAGCCGATATTGAAACTATATTTATCTTGCAAAAAAGAGCTATAAGGGCTATTTATCAACTTAGTTCTAGAACATCTCATAGAGAAAAAAATAAAGAAATCGGGATTTTGACTGTTGCTTCACAATTCATTTATTATTGTATACTTTTTGTTCGAAGCAATATTATCTATTATCTCAAACACAGTGACATACAATCTTTTAATACAAGGAATAAAAATAAACTCAAGATACCAAATTACAGGTTACAGAAGGTTCATAAATCATTTATGGTATACATTTCTATAATAAGATTCCTAATGATATATTTGATTTGCCTCCTCATAAATTTAAAATACACATTAAGAATTGCTTACTTAAGAAAGGATTTTATACTGTCAATCAATATATGAATGATAAAACGGCCTGGTTGTAATTTTACCTGTCGATAATTTTTCAAAAGCTATATTAAAACTAAGGCACACTTGCACTTACTCCCTTTCATATACTTGTACATTTTGTTTTGAAAATTGTTTCTTTCTATTTTAGGACTTTTCTTTGCACTTATTTTTAGTTAATTCGTTGATTTTCTATTGTTACATATTTGACATTATGTGATGGAAGTTGACCTGAACACATGTTTGCAAGTTTGATGACAACTTTCAATTGGACGACACTGTATGAAATAAAACAGGGAGAAAAAAGCAGCCCTTGCTGAGTTTCTTGCCGGTTCTTCTCAGTACAAGATCTCCCGCCGTAGATTTGCGAACCGATGGCGTAGCTTTTCGACATTCACAAGTGCTTGTGCTAGACTGAATAAACGATATCGAATTTTGAATTTTATAAATATTATGATTAGATTTTAAAAGGTACTCGACTACTGACGGCATTCGATAATTCTAAATTTAAGCAAGGTAAGTGGAATATGGAGTAACATGATATTTTGTTTATTACTAACGGAATGCAGAAAGATATATCGCATGACTAAGGTGCCTGCATTCCCAATAATTATTACTGTAACATGTAGATTTATCATACTGAATATCATGGGAAACACTTGATTTGTTGCACAAGTAGCAGCTGTTGGTGGCAGGCAGATTTTGTAGTATTTGATCCAATTTTATTGTAACTAGGTCAAACATACCTGTGGCTAAGCTCCTGTATCGTTCGAACCAGACGGTGACGCTGACGATGGCAGGGAGGTAGATGAGGCCGAAACCAAAACCGGAGCCGATGCCGATGGTGAAAATAAGCATCAGCACGTTAGAGGCGAACGCAGATGCGATGACGCACACCGACGCTAGTATAGCCCCAGCCACCGTGACACGCTGGCATCCCCAACGATTCACGAACGAGCTTGATACTGGACCTGAAAACGAATAACTTATAATTTTAATGTTCTGCTAAAGATATTGAAGGATATTAGTGCCAGTCCACATCTCCAAGTCAGGATGTCGTCAACGTGGAACAGTGTAGTAGCGTGGCACGGTGCGTTGATATAACGTGCAAAATTTAAGTTACCATAACTATCGTAAAATTGCACGTCACGACGCCGCAACGTAACACGTCACTGTGCCTCAAAAAATCCAGTAGATTCTTCACTAACGTAACTTCAGATACCCGTGATAGCAATACCCGTATACCGTGCACTAGCACGACACGGCAACGCATCGTGCTGCGATACCGCACCGTTCCACGATGACGACGTCATGGCTTCAAGATGTCGACAGGCCCTTAGGCTATCTAGCTCCTTTTCAGCGGAAGTTCTAACAAGCACTTCAACAATGAATGTTGCCGAAAACTCAGTTCGACTTTGTGTTCCATTTGATTAGTATCTGGAAGAACTGTTTTTTTTCGTTTTTATCTAAATAATCAGTATCCATAGGTATTTATCTTTATCAGGAGACACTAAGGCCCCTATTATAGAAAGATTCTCAGTGATTGATCTAGTCTAGTGCATAGTCGCTATGTGCTATATATAGCGACATCCCTTTCTAACTGTACATCGCCCCCCCGATCCTGAGAGGCCTTCAGTCGCTCAGTCCCAAACCGATACGGATGCACATCAGAGTGCATCCGTCCTCTAAGCGCACTATGCAGTAGTATTTACTAAGGCAGCGCTGCATCATCCCCTTCTCAGGGGTTGATCGTATCAGATGAAGCCTGTAAGGCCCCTAAGGCCATAGGCATCCGCCACAGGTGTGTTTTAGTCAGTAAGAGTCTGACATAACCCTACAGCCGGCTGTAGGGTATCCATGAGGATTTCACACCCGCTCCCCCGCCTGGGAGGAAACAAAAAAAAAATCTAACTGTACTTAAGCAAAGATCAACACTTAGCCTTATACCTATTCTTAATAAATAAGGAATAAGCTATGACTTTGTTACGCCGTTTTGTTCATATGACTCAAATGCCGTTTGTCATTCAACAACCAGATATAAATCATGGAATAACTAGTCCAAGCTATTATTTGTTTATTAAGAAGGGGGATTTAGATAAGATGATTCGTACCATTTAAAACGATGTCGGGTTCAGGTGAACAGCAGACTAATATCATTATTAACTAATAAAATAACATACAACACACGAAGGTTACGACGACGTTTGTTTATATAGCATAAGGCATTCCTTTCTATCTTGTAAGATGTCAGAAAACTTTTTACATGCATGTCATATGACTTTGACATTATCAGAATCACACAAAGTTAAAATATTAAATAGAGGATTGATGACGTTATACAATACAGACAGTGAGTTAATATTTGTATAATGTTGCTTAGGAAAACATAGCATTATTTATACGTTCCTTATTATGTTTCGCAGTCTAGACATTATTTTAGATAATATTACAACATATAGTTCTTCGGACCATTATTATTATTATTATTGTTGACATTACACAATACAGACAGTGAGTTAATATTTGTATAATGTTGCTTAGGAAAACTTAGCATTATTTATATGTTCCTTATTATGTTTCGCAGACTACACACAATGTTAGGTAATATTCCAACATATAGTTCTTTGGACCACGTGTGTTGGCCTGCTGTGTCACCGTTTATTGGATTCGTATAAATATGTGTTCTACTTTCCTATAATCTTCAGCACTGGTTTGTAAATTGTAAATCAACAAAGGAGAAACTAAAGAAAGTAGTTCGTAATCAACGAGTGATTAAAAGTTTTGCAATATTAAATATTTATACTGATGTAATTATAATTACCTGCGCTCAGCGTGACACCCACAAGAATGGAGACGATTAAAGCAGTCTTGCCTTTGCCCTCTTCAAAGTAGGTCAGGAACTCCGCATAGAATATACCGAACGAATAGGTCAGGCCATCGGCTGAAATGAAAAAAAAAAACACTTTGATAAATGATTCGTGGCATCTTAACATAATTCAGGAAATATACTGAAGTCTATATAGTCAATTTACAAATTGTGCTTCTTCATACGCATGTTATGAGAATAAATCTGATAGTGCAAACATAATTATACCTAGGTGTAGTGGATCTTAACTAGTACTAAGAATATCATTTACAAATTAAAAGTAGTACCTAGTTGTAGTGGATGAAAACCAGTAAGCTCTAAAAGCTCTTTCTCGTGGAAGCGTAGGCAGTAACTGGCTTTTGATGAATTAGTTTTGTAAAAATATCCTAAACTATCAATTTAGTAAACTGCGACCTTATTACCACAATGAATTACTCTGGTGTTCAACACGATTTTAAGAAGCAAATTAATATCATACAAGAATTGCCTCATCATCAGCTTATTAAGAGGAGCTCGATGGCGCGGGTGGTTAGCGCGTTCTGCTGCGATCGTTGAGGTTAAGCAACTTTCACAGTGGTCGGTCATTGGATGGTTGACTAAAAATATTTTATCTCGAGTTCCTCCGTGCTTCGGAAGGCACGTTAAGCCGTTGGTCCCGGCTGCGTCTGCAGTCGTTAGCACCCCCCAATCCGCACTGGGCCCGTGTAGTGGGTCATGCATGGCCCAATCTCCCTATTCCATCCATAGGAAAAACCTGTGCTCCAGCAGTAGGGACATTAATAGGCTGATGATTATACAAAAAAGCCTATACATGGTTAAAAAGTATCTAACTTTTAAGTGAAGTTTGTTTAGTGTTGTTTGTAGTGATACAAGCCCTTAAAGCAATACGTCGGACGCGATTCCCTGTTGCTTTATGTATGTACTATTTCGTAAACTTTTGGGTTTGTACAACCCCAGTTTACGAAATTGTAAGTTTAGGGTTTGGTAAGCGTCTAGGAATTGAAGCACAAATTGCTTTTTCATGTAAACATTAATTAAGTTATACATATCATCAATGAACTAAAAAATATAAAAAGACACTATTTCGCATGTATTTAAATTACGAATATTTTTTTGGTGATAAGTAACTCATCACAACAAATCCAGCTCCGCTTTATTAAACAGTAAATAAAAATCTTTCCTTATCACTAGATTTTTAAATGTAATGTCAGAAAAACAGCCTCTTTTTGAGGAATGAATAAAACCTGCTTAAAAGAAGTGCTAAACAGAGCGCTATTTTTTGTAGAACTCATAATATGATCGCTAAATGTATTTATATTCAAATGTAATTCGAAGCTACAACTACTTATAAAATATCACTGCGTCAGGTATTTGAAATACGAGTATTTCAGACAGGAATGTATTTTAATTACAAGTAAGTAATTCAAGTACTGTCCAACCCTAACTACAACAATTTAGAAAGATTTTTTATATTTTAACAGAAGAAAAGAGATTTTCTTAAATATTTGTCAATAAATAAGCTCCTGATATGGGAAGATACATAGCAGATTCTCCGCTCAAATTGGAGCGCCAGCCTGGGGAAGTAACCTTCACCTTACAGAAAATCACAATAAAATAACACTACTTTATGCTGATCTTGTCTTTCTCTTGGCGAGTAAGGTTCCAGGACTCCACGGGGTAGGGGATTGGTTCAGCCCCCCTAGCATGAGCATCGCGATATGATATACCTATAGCACGTTTTTATCACGCTCAATTGTCAAATTACTATGGAGTTTGACAGTTAGACACGATAATAAACGTGATAAAATAAAAGAGACAAGAGACTACTTTGTTGGAATTCTGTGTAAAATATCCTTAATCTATGTCAGATTATATTATTTCTTTGCCTCTATGTTGTTAGTGAATAATGGCGTTTTTTCTTGAATATCGTATTTTGATTGACTAAAACAGATTGTACCTAAAATTGTGTAAATGATACAGACTACTAACTTTATCAGTAGGCACCTAATTAATGGTTGCATAACTGTGTCCTACCCAATTATAGAAAATGAAATGTACCTAGATTGCTGTTACACGACCTTTATGTAAGCGTCAAGTTTCTAGTTAATCAAAGCTTTGCGAAGCAATCGAACTTTGTAGAATAAAAATGAGTCATTATAATTGTGTTGGCTTCATAGAACTCTGAGTAAATGCCTAGTGCGCTTATCGTGGGCAGTGTTAAAGTGCAACAGACAATAAATTAACCGGCTTTTAAACAAGATAATAAAGCCAGAGTAATAACCTATTGTTTTCATAATTACGTATATAGAATCTCTTTATAGTTGTATTTATTCTATTTTAATAATACTGTAATATTTTGCGTTTCCTGGGTCACGATAAAGTAGTGTTTTTGCACATCGTCGTTGTAAAACCAATAACTAATATTTGCACTTTTTGGAGATTCATTTCGATAGTTATGGAAATGTCGTAATATTCAAAAAGTATACTAGTCATAATACAAAGACTTCTATCTAATATGCTAATCTGTAGCATTATAACCTCGCTTTTTAAATCTCTTCCCCGCTAATGGCTTTCATCAGACAGTCACAATTTTCACTACTCGATGCGTGGTATAATGAAATTAAGAAAAAAGAACTTTTGATGAAGTTTAAGTCCTCAGAGTGCCCAATGGTTTCAGAATCTATTATAGAGGATTCATAACATGTGTGTAGATAAAGTCTTGTATGAAACCGTTCATAATTAGGTATTAAGTAACTGAGTTTTTGGTTTTTGATTTTTAATTTTTGCAAAAAAAAATATTTTTTCACGAAATTTGGTGAAAACTTACCTTTGTATGTCCCAAACATACAGTAATTTTTTTGATTTAAAATATTCATTTTTTCACCTTATTTTGACTTAATATCCAAAAAGCACCCTAATTTTCAATCGAAAATTCTCACGTCAAAATATCTGCTTTTTTAAAAAAGTTGGGGTGTTTTTTGTTTGTTGAAATCGGTATAAAAAAATATACACTACTATGATAAATGTTCTCAGAAAATGCAAATTAATAATGAAAAAAACTCGAATTCAAGAAAGAAACCGAGATTAACCATTTTTTACCCTTTAAAACTCACCCCCTCCCCCTTCCCGACCTCAGATTGCCCGTAATTTATTTTTCCTTTCATTTTTGTTATATTCTCTACCTTTTCTAATGGGTTTCATCCTACTATAATTTTTTTTGGTCTCAAAAATTATCGACCCTGGTCTATTAGCGTAGAAGGGATATAACACCCAAACCGGTGTTAAAATGGTTTTAATGTATACTTTTGTCTCACTTTAATACTAAAAAGAAAAAGGGACGAAAGATGTATAGGTAGTTCTAATTTTCACCACCCGCACGTGGCGTCATTTCCTTATTAGAAAGAGTTTGCTTCATTACTTAAATAAGGTATACCTACTGTTTTCTCGCAAAATGTGTTGAAAAACGTTGTATGACATTCGTGCGGAATTTTACAAATCCGTGGCTGTGGTTTTGTTTGAAATAACCAACTTACCCAAACCAACTAATATCATAAATAACTATTTAGCAGCAACCAGAATCAAGTCAAATATTAACTGTTATTTTAAAGTTTTATTTTTTGCACATAGCAGATATTGGTTCGGAAACGATGGCATGTTAAACTGGATTTGTTTGATAACATTGAATTTGTCATGCACGCAGCGCAGCTCGTATCACCGGTTACAATTATAAAGAACTCAGTAATTTTTATGATAATACCGTATTTTTTATTCTGAATCACAATAATTTGCCATTTAATTGGTATTTTCGTTTGACTAATCCCGGAATATAATTAGGTTATTGGGATTATAAACTAACTAACAAAGCGTGAATACATGTAAAATAAAATCATGTTGTTCAAAGGCAAAAAATATACATCATAGATTTCATGAACAGACTTGAATTATAAAGTATAGGAATATCAAAGTCTATGGCATACTAGGTATATTGTAATGCTAGGCAGCGGCAGACAATAAACTAAGTGGGTTGCAATGTAAAAGAAATGTAGTTAGATAGTATGTAGATACATACTCGTACATCGAATTATCGACCAGGATGTGGTAACATTCACTGTTAACTCGAGGAACAAAGCCTTGTCTGACAGTGAAAAGCACATGAAAGAAGCTCGGAAACGTCGAAGCCTTCATCTTCAGAAGAAGTGGGTTAAGTCTGATGACTAGTATGGTATTGTAAAACTTTCAATACATCATATGAAGATAAGCATTGTGTTGAAGATGGGAAATTACAAAAGAAATGGTTTTACAGATTCTGTTTGTTTCAATCTATCAAACACAGTATTTGAAATTCTAAATTAGGTAATATTTTTTATTCCTGGAAAAGTTCATGTAAGAAATTTAATTATCATATGACGTATAATTTGAATGTAGAAATAAGTTATAATTAAAATTGTTGATTGTTCGCTTGGTGATAGTGATGGAGAAACCATGTAGTCACGGCTTATGGGATGATGAAGATAAGTATTAAAATAAATCAAGATAACAGCCGATAAATGAGATTATCGCATGTTAATTCAGAATGCGGAATTGTATTAGATTCCAATCGAATTATCAATAATGACAAAACCGATAAAATTTTGAGGGAAAAGAAAAAGTATTTCCCTTAATTTTATTTTATAATAGGTGGTCTAGCTAGAACATTTCTCGGATGGTTTTTTATATAAGTGGAAGCCAGCTAAAATATAGTTTTTACAGATATTTAACCTGAGAAACAATAGATCATACATTATGGATATTAAATACGATAGGACAAAGGGCCCCATTACGGAAGCAATTGATTCCTCATGTTAGTCATGAACAGGTTAATAAGTATGTACATTTAGGAATAGGTACAGTATTTTATTTATGAATTTGCATTAGAATTTTGACCTATGTAATAATCATAATCAAAATCAGTTATTTAGTTTTGGCTGTTACAAGCACTCATGAATGAATATCTAGAAGCTACGCAATCGGTTCGTAAATCTACGGCGCGCGGCGGGAGACCTTGTACTGAAAAGAACCTGAAGAAACTCAGCAAAGGCTGTTTTTTTCTTCCTGTTTTATTATTTACAGAGTCGTCAAGTTGAAAAATGACTGCAGAGATTATTCATGAAGTCACCTTACATTACATTATATACCTATTTACATTTATTTATGTCTTATTAATGGTATTCCATTACCCTAGCGAACTTTTAAGGAACACACTAAATAAGACATTTGAAAGATATTAAGGCCCGTATTAATAGATCGAACTGAACTCCGAGACCCGAAACTACTCGTAATTAATACAGGCCTTAGACATTTTAAAATTCAGTGAAGTGTACAAATAGTAAATTCAAATCATTCAAGGGAGCTGAGATTAGTTAGGACAAAATGTTTTACTACATAATATTGTAGTATTAGGTAAGTCACTACGTTATCCAAAACAAAGCTCTGGCTGCATGCCATGACCCAACTCCACGTTTTTTCTTTCTATTTTAATGGGTTCATTGTATCGAATAGATGTAACTACTTGCAGGTATCTAATGGTTATGTAGGTATGTAAAATAGATTTAATTTAGAAATGTCGTTAACAGTTTTGATTCAATTAATGATTTTTATTTGATATTCAAAACTTTGGCCTAATGTATTCTTGCTATTTTTCTAAGTGTTTATTTTTTTACTCTAAACATTGTATGATAAGATGGCCTTTATCCTTTTATAAAAGTCGATACCCGCATTTACCTAGTTTCAATCAAACGTCGTGGGTGGAAGCTATTCTCTTGAATTCAAATACGAAAATAGAAAATGAGATTTGTTACACTTAGTCAAAATGTGATTGGAATCATCAAAGTTTATCGTAATAACTTGAAGCACACAAGATAGTCTTCTATAAGTAGATAAAACTAATTTCATTAATGTGATTTCGTAGGCTTAGATTAGATTAAGTAACTGTAAGAGCGAACTCCCGGGATTATTGTAAGATTGATATTAGAAAAGTTAGGAAGTAACCGTATCTAGAGGCTTAGTAGATAAAGATTTTCATAAGTTAATAAATAAATACTCTTGATGGGAATACGGGATGACTACGGCCTTTGTGATGGATGAATTTGCTTTCTCAGCGGCAATCCCACATCAAAATAATATGATTGAGTACGTTGGAGAACGTAAATAGATTTTTAGGTTTACGTGAAAATGTATTGAACGAAGTAAGTAGATTGAATAATGTACAACATGCTAAATATATTTTGTTTACCTTCAACGTACTTAATCATACATTTGGATGTTACACTTTACATGTACGAGTATCACGCTTAATGAAAAATTTGAGGTTAAAATTAATCTCTTTATTTTCCCATCAGAATATTGAATCCAAGGCTAACACTTAATAATACACTTCTGGACACATCTATTGGCCCACCTTGTATTTTCAGTTTCGTTTGGTCCTAGCTAAAATTTTATATTAGGTCGAGCAAAAAGTTTTTATGCAGTTTTGAACCTGGCACATTCACAATTTCATTCAATAGTCTTTTTTTGAATTTCGAACACAGAATTTAAAGAAACAAAAGACAATTTGGAGCCTGTTTGTTGATATTAAACAATCGAATACTAAGAAAACTTGGTTTTATTGGTTTACTTGCATTTAATTCTTGAAAAAGTGATTGATATCTTTGGTTTTGCAACAAACATTACTTATTCTTAAGGTGAGGTTCTATCAATAATCTATGGATACTTCACCTGAAGTCGCCGCCCAAGCTGTGGCACTTATTCAGGCCGGACACAGCCAAAGAAACGTGAGTGCTCAACTTAATTTAAGTCGATCTGCGGTCCGAAATGTTTATCGGAGGTACCTAGAGACGCTTTGTTCGTCGCCAAGGAAGGCCACGATCTCGGGTCACAACTGAAAGGCAGGATCGATTCATCGTGACGACCAGCTTGAGAAATCGTCACCTTACCTCCATTGAGATACAAAAACAAATTCGCGACTTCCACGGAGTATCTGTGAGCGCTCGAACTGTTCGGAGAAGGTTAAAAGAACGCGATATGGTACCACACAAGCCAGCTAATGGGCCCAAAGTAACGCGATCCCACCGAACAGAGCGCCTTCATTTCGCACGCAGTCATTTAAATTGGACACAGCAAGATTGGAGCCGTGTACTCTTTTCTGATGAGTCTAAAATTGTGTTACATGGCAATGATGGAAGGAAGAAGGTCTACCGACGTAAGGGAGAGCGTTTCGAGAGGACTATGTGGGCCCAAGGGCCCAAATTTCCTTTTTATGCATGATAATGCAAGAGCCCATGCGGCCGGCATCGTCAGGGAATATCTTTGGGATGTGAACATCACAGTTATGGACTGGCCAGCCAGAAGCCCAGACATGAACCCCATTGAGCACATGTGGGACGAGCTAAAAAGATGTGTTAGGACTCGTCAGCCAGTTGCCCAGACGATACAGGAGTTGAAAACTGCCATAGAAGAGGAATGGGAGATGATCCCTCAAAATTTCATAGAGCGGTTGATAAACTCTATGCCTAATCGTATGAGAGCTGTGGTAGATGCCCATGGAGGCAACACGCGTTATTAAATTAAACCTTTATTTGATAAAACATGTTTTTTATTCAAAAATCAATTGCCTTTAACAAGGCACATATCCGACTTGTTAGGCGTAGCTCCATGTCGTATGGTATTCTGAATTCAAATTTAAAACAATACGATCGAAAAAGATGGTAAAATGTATCAGGTTTAAAACTGCATCAACAGTTTTTGTTCAATCTAGCAATCACATTTCGGTAGGGGTCATCGAAACCTAAACTCTAAGTAGGGCCAATAGATGTGTCCAGAAGTGTACATGCATTGAGTTACATATTTGTGAAGGAACTAGTGGCACCTAAAATTACTTCCAGAGAAACCTTAGCTACAGGACAATAGGCCCTTCACGCATAAAACAAAGATTACCTACAATATCAACCTAGATAAAATGATAAAGTAATTTAGTTTGACTAAAATAGAAGTTCCCAGAATATTGTTTGAAGGATTACTACTCCTATCTTATTACTTACTTTGTGCTTATATACAAAGAATATTCTTATAACTAAAAATAGTTTAGTATTTGAATTATGAGCCCACGTTTTTTGTATAAAAGACGACG